CTCAAGCTGTGAAAACACAAAAAAAGTTAAGTAATTACGGAGGAAAATGTTTAAATAATATACGGTTACAGTGAAATCCCTTCTCGTCCGTGATGGTGGCGGGCGTGATTGCAGCAAAGGAGGCCCCCGTGGCTCGGATAATTTTTTGCCGCGTCGGTGGTGAGGATGTGGTCACCCGAAACGGGATGAGTTCAAATCCCGGTCGAGCGTCAACTCATCACAACATCTCTCCAGGATAGGTGAGGGCCAATTTGGAAAATCAAAAGTGGTCATCCTATGAATATACTGAATTCGCCATGGGCATGTAGAATTGCCACCACTAGCCAGGGCCACCAAGAGAGAGAGAAAGATGTGCCCACGTATGGCGCGTATGAGCAGGGATAGACGCTGGGTCTGACCTACAAATAAACACGTGACGATTTTTTTTATTATCTCTGACACAAAGGTGCGCTCACAAACACCAGGAAGGCACAGCTCCCCATCATGCCTTGCATGTCATGTGACCACCACATTGTGTGCACAATGCTCTCGGCCTTGTCAAAGCCACCAGCTCGATAGAACTGAGCGCGTGGCCGCATTATTGTTGTTCATGCCACCACCTCAAGCGCAGGCGAGCACGTGTCGGTCCCGACAGGGAGTGATAAACGGGGCTGATGTGGGTTTTCACCACTTGCACAATGAGCCACGTTTGTGTCATCTGTGATATTGTTGATAACAGTATGAAGTACACACCCAAATAATTCATTTAAAATATATATTTAAAAACATGCGTTCTGCTAATATCATGTGCACGCATGTGTGTGTGTATCATTCCACCGGCAGTGAGCTGTGACGAATACCGCTCATCGCATTGTGAGAAGTTGCCAGTATGGCCACCATAATGGCATACCCTGTGGAATTCCTAATGGAATACTGCATGGAATGCCTCATGGATTTCCTAATGGAAACCCCCATGGAATGCCCCATGGATTTCCTCATGTTATTCCTAATTGCAAACCTCATGGAATGCCTCGTGGATTTCCTCATGGAATTCCTCATGGAAAACCTCATAGAATGCCTCGTGGATTTCCTCATGGAATTCCTCATGGAAAACCTCATAGAATGCCTCATGGATTTCCTCATGGAATTCTGAATGGAAGAAAAAAAACCCTAAATGGAATAGCGGTGCATTCCGACACATTCCACAACTTGGTCTTCATCAGGCGAGCTTCACCCGCGAGACGCGATGCCGCGGGGGGGGGGGGGGGGGGGGGGGAGAGGGGAGAGGGCCTGGGTGCAGTGACAGCCACCCGCTGCCCGTGCCAGCTCTGCATTAACACCCTCGTCGTATTTCGCTGGAGCGGACTCACATCCCTCATCCCTCATCCCCTCCCCCGCCCACCGCCAACGCCTCATGCCCGTGGACGCTGTCGCCCAGTGGCCTAAATCATGAACGCACGTGAGACATTTATCACGTCATAAAGTTCACACATTAGCATCTGGGCACACTTTACGAAGGTGTACGTCTGAATCGCATTCATTTGTATCGCTCACTGCTACGATTAGGTTTTTGTTTTCCTGTCACGGTTATATTGTCATGCTCAAGGGCACGCGCGCAGAAGCGGTGCCGCAACGCGGCCGGAACGCCTTGCGCCTCGGGGCGCGCGTGCCAAGGAGGCGATGCTGCTCCACACGTCTCCATGGGGTTCTTCCTTCTGCTGGAAAGACAAAGGAGAAAGCAGCAGCAGCAACAACATCGACAACATAAACAACATCAACAACGTCGGCAGCATCGACAACATCAAGATAATGGGAACGCAGTGGTGCGAGATCACGGTGCGCAACTCTGCAACCCATCCGTGATCGTACAACGCGAACTGCATCACCGTCTACACCTCGGACAAGAGATGATGACGATAGAGGGAGGGGATCCCAAAGTGGAGCAGTGCCAGGAAATGAGCAAGAAGAGAAGCGAGGTGACCTGCTTTGTGGTGAGTGTGTTGGTGAGTGTGTGGGTGAGTTGTTGTCACCTGCAGCGAGGTGCTGGTTAAACAGTGCGTCAGGAACACCGAGTCCTCAAGGTGGGTGGAGGCGAAGTCAGCGAGTGACGTTAGTCGTGCTGTAGTCGTAGCGAGAGTGGACACAGTGACCTCTGCGGCCACTACACGGGCCGGGTGACAGCATGGGAGACGCGTGCGGGTCACGAGTGACAACACTGGTGACGCACGGGTGACAGCACGGGAGACGCGTGCGGGTCACGGGGAGACAGCACGGGAGACGCGTGCGGGTCACGGGTGACAGCACATGTGACAGCACGGGAGACGCGTGTGGGTTACGAGTGACAGGACGGGTGACGCATGCGGGTCACGGGTGACAGCACAGGTGACAGGACGGGTGACGCATGCGGGTCACGGGTGACAGGACGGGTGACGCGTGCGGGTCACGGCGAGCGGAGCCTGGCAGGGAGACCGGCGTCCCTCTGCGCCCTGCGCGCCGTACAATCCCCCCACTTGTGCGACAATTGGCTCATTTATGGCGCGGATTTTAAAGGCCAAATAAAAATGTTGCATGGAACTAGTGACGCGCCGGGTGTAATTACACGAATCACATTGAATCAAATTTCGAATCTTGTCTCATGCATCCTGGACCCGCGCACGCACACCAATTGACGCATCCAATGCGATCTTTAAGAGGGAAACCTGAACATTCATTCATTCACTCAAATGGCAAACACGTGTTCGCCACCGCAAATAGTCGAGGCTGCGTTGGCCAAGCACTTGTAGCCATTAACTTAATTGCGTTTTTAAGTGTTGCAAACAGGTCCGTGTCTATGCCACTCCAGCTCTGAGTAATGCAATGGAGCTGCCAAAGCAAGCGCGCGCGCACAGGAGGTCCTTACAAACGCGAGTCAGAGCGACGTACACAGAGCATCGCACTTACAACCAAACACAGATCCGCTTTCTCTGGTTTATGAACGAGTTAACACCAAACTACATCAGCACAACATCCACACACACAGATGAAAAAGCAAATGCGGCCACGCAGCATCTACACACGTGATTAAACATTACAAAACTCGCAAATTACACCCAATCATTTTTTTCGCCGCGATTTTGAAAGACCCACACTCACGGGCAGTTCAACAGACGCGCGCTTCATTGCCAAAAGGGAGTCGCGCACGAACCGTGACATCTCCACGTTGTCCGGTCACTTTGTTGGCCCAGGGGACCGGTGTCAGTTGTCCAGCGAACTGTGGTGGGGGGGGAGAGGCGGCTCCCTCTGTCCGCGGCAGACGGACGGGCGGTTTTGCTCGTGTGGACGCAACGTCGGTCGGTGCTTGCCTCTCTTGTTTCTGACGGGGAGACTTCGTTGCCCGTGTGAGAAACGTGCGTTTAGAGTGATTCGGTTGCTGCTGCTGCTGCTGCTATAAATTTAGACGCGATGATAAGCCAACGCTTCGTTGAGCTTCTTTCATTTGTGGCCAGGTCGCGTCTGACAAAAATAAGGAGCTCTGTCGTGCAGTGGGCCTTACCTGAATAAAATAAAATAGTAAATAGTGAAATAGGTATCAAAGCGATGAAAAAAGAAAAGGCAATCATCCATGACGTTTTAAGATGTTCAAACACCAAATATACACCCATAATTGCAAGGCATTATAAAATCTGCATTAACAACACACGCGTGTGGTAAAACATGCAAACATGCTTTGATAATAATGCACGCATTGTCTTTGACATTGATTTGTGCTGCTTGCCCGTTGGCGTCTGTTCTCTGGCCTCTGGTGGAGGCCACGTGCCGGTGCTGGGAGCATTTTCGCATCGCAGGGCCGTGAGAGGTGGCGGGTTCGGGAAGCCTTCATCCAGCAGCGGATTGAGCACGGCTGCTGCTGGTGATAGTCCAGCGAAAAGTTGAATTCATCCAGTGGCGTAACTGCCCAGTGTGCAGGCGGTGCAACTGCACTGGAGCTTCCAGGCCAGAGAGACCGAGGATTTAGACTGTTAAGATGCCCACTAGACTCACCCTGCCCACTAGACTCACCCTGCCCACTAGACTCACCCTGCCCACTAGTCTCACCCTGCTCACTAGACTCACCCTGCCCACTACTCACCCTGCCCACTAGACTCACCCTGCCCACTACTCACCCTGCCCACTAGACTCACCCTGCCCACTAGACTCACCCTGCCCACTAGACTCACCCTGCCCACTAGACTCACCCTGCCCACTACTCACCCTGCCCACTAGACTCACCCTGCCCACTAGACTCACCCTGCCCACTAGACTCACCCTGCCCACTAGACTCACCCTGCCCACTACTCACCCTGCCCACGAGACTCACCCTGCCCACTAGACTCACCCTGCCTACTAGACTCACCCTGCCCACTAGACTCACCCTGCCCACTAGACTCACCCTGCCCACGAGACTCACCCTGCCTACTAGACTCACCCTGCCCACTAGACTCACCCTGCCCACTAGACTCACCCTGCCCACTACTCACCCTGCCCACTAGACTCACCCTGCCCACTAGACTCACCCTGCCCACTACTCACCCTGCCCACGAGACTCACCCTGCCCACTAGACTCACCCTGCCCACAAGACTCACCCTGCCCACTAGACTCACCCTGCCCACTACTCACCCTGCCCACAAGACTCACCCTGCCCACTAGACTCACCCTGCCCACTAGACTCACCCTGCCCACTACTCACCCTGCCCACGAGACTCACCCTGCCCACTAGACTCACCCTGCCCACTAGACTCACCCTGCCCACTACTCACCCTGCCCACTACTCACCCTGCCCACTAGACTCACCCTGCCCACTAGACTCACCCTGCCCACTAGACTCACCCTGCCCACTAGACTCACCCTGCCCACACTGACATCGAACACGCTCTGCTCAACACTCCACAATTCCAGTGCCGGTGTTTGTAGCTGCCCTGAGGTCACTCACTCATTTTACCCACCTCACCCATCTCCGTATGAACTACACAGCATCAGAGAATGCACGCGACACAGACACGCATAAGGGTCACCAGTTTAATGCGACTGCCACACCATCGCTCCCGGCAAACACAAGACGTACTCGTAATGCGCGTATAGCTTATTGTTCTCTTTGCATCCTACGTATTCAGTGACCCTACTATTTTAATTAATTATATTTTCCACTCCACCTAATTGCATGCACAAAATTGTACCCAAATTGTCGTAATCAATGTTTACCCAAACACAGCAATCAATCGCACCAATATTTCATCATCCTAACGGTATATACCTCTACACCCGGGAACAGTATATGAAACCATCATGCACGTTTATAGATAGTGCTTACATGTAGTGCATTTGTTTTTATCACGGCACTTGTGAAATGTAATTTCCATTTGAGGTCATTTTTTTACCAAACCCGCGAACACGGAAGTTGCGTTTAGAAGAAAGCGTCATGCAGACGGAGGAAGTAAACTTGTCCCAGGGAATCTCCACACACGACGACCTCGTGACCTCCGCAGGCCACGGTCCTCATGCAGGTGACGGGCCCGCTGCACACGAACACGCCCAGCTGCACAAACACGGCGACGGCGCAAGGAGGGACAGAACAGTCGCAGCGATCACTGAACACGGTCGCTGAGACCTGCACAAAGCGTCAAGCGGCCAGCAGCGAACAGCACTACCGAAGCTGCAACAGATAAGAGCGAAGAACAACGCTTCCGAAATCGGATAAGGTCGTGATAATAACACTGCGGTCAAAACACTTCTAAATGATCGTCGCTCATTCACTTTCCAAACGTTGCCTCCTCGACTATTCCTGGCTCTGTCCACCCAGATAGCCTTTTACCTGGCGGAGGTCAGGCAGAGACCAGAGCTTGACGCTGTGGTCCAGGGAAGCTGTTGCCAGCACGGAGCCTACGACGTAGACCCCGGTCACATCGGCACCGTGCACCTGCAGGCGACATTTGCGGCGGCGTCAGTCACGGAGGGCGGCGCTTCACGACGTTAAACGGACAAACGCAGCCGAGGCCGTGATCTGACAAAATACAAAACGGCACGAATTTGAACACACCGGCAGACTACACAACGCACGCCGGTGTGCAGCACTGCGTGTACACAAACCTCTCAGCCTCGTCCAGACCACGAGCTCAAACGGAACTGAATGTATGTGATGATGTGGCCGCGGCGGTCTAATGACGAAATGCCCGAGCGTTGAGTTCTTTTGAGCTGGTGGTCTGGATAAGGCTGGAAGCGTTCTGTACATGCAATCCTGCACACCTTTGTTGTTATATATATATAATTTCTTCCAGCCTTCGTTCATTTGTCCATTGTGATGTGGTTTTTGTTAAATCATAATTAACAGATTTGAATTCAAATACAGTGAAACATTGGAATGCAAGTAACTTGGTCTGCGAGTGTTTTGCAAGACGAGAATTTTTTTTAAATAAATAAGAATTTGATAAACGAGTGATGTCTTGCAATACGAGCAGCAAGTGCACAGTATACGCTTTGTCTGCCGAGCATCACGTGATCACAACTGAGCCAATGGTTCTTCTCTTTCTCTCTCTCGCTGCGGGATTGTGGGTAATCATCTCCCATGCTCGGTCTCAGTCGGCGTGCCTCACTCGTATAGTCAACATCCGTGCGAGCGTATACTGTTTACTATAGTACTATAGTGTTGTGACCACGTGTATACTGTTTACTACAGTATAGTGTTGTGACCACGTGTATACTGTTTACTATAGTACTATAGTGTTGTGACCACGTGTATACTGTTTACTACAGTACTATAGTGTTGTGACCACGTGTGTACTGTTTACTAGAGTACTATAGTGTTGTGACCACGTGTGTGTGCATAAAGCATTTTATTTATTTTGTGTCCAAGTGTAGTGACTGTTCTTTAGTAACTGTACTGCAAGTGAAAGTCGTCCTACACAATAACCCTCCTCCTCCTCTCTATCGTCTCCCTCACACCAGCCACGATTAAATGTAATTAATAAATTTGATTACTTTATATTAAATAAAAATAATACAAATATAAAAAGGTATTTTGTATTAATTTTTATTTGAATACAGTATTTTTGAGTTGTGGAACGAATCACCTGAGTTTCCATGCACTTTGATGTACGAGTGCTTTGGATTACGAGCACGTTTCCGGGACGAATTATGCTCGCAAATCCAAGGTTTCACTGTATTCCACAGAAAATGTAAAACTCCACACAAGTGGAGGCTGCGATTGACAATTAAAATGCACAAGGAGCCACACACGCGTTACGAGAGCGGCCTCGAACCTCACGCAACCAGGAACTCACCCGCTGCGTCCGGGAGACAAAGCCAGCGGCACTCCCACCACCACCACCATGTGGACCGGCAACCACCCGGGCAGCCGACCACAGCTCCAGGTTTCCCCGGGAATCCCCACAAGCCCAGTGGGGACCTTGAACAAAGGAGAGAAGCGCCGCTAATAACCCGGCTCAACACGCTGATGAACGCAGCTCAACACGCCGATTAACAAAGCTCCATGCACTAATCCGGCCATCTGGCTCGGTGGTAGAGCGAGCAGCTGACATTCGGGAGGTTGTGAGTTCAAACCTTGGTTGGGTGTCGGCTTAGCACATCATCACTCAAAGTACCTGCCACAAATGAACCACAACACCTTGCTCTCGTTAAGGAGCATAAACCATCACGTGAACTCCGGTCAGCCTCGCAGCGACTTTTGGCTGGGCCATCGAAGAGAGACGGTTACCGCATCGCGCGCTTTCGGATGCGCTTCTGCGGCCGTCTGGAACGCTCTTCCTTCCGATATTAGGAAGCCACTGGAGCTGTGCACTTTAAAATAATCTAGATTTAAAACGAATTTCTTTAAGAAAGTGTTTAGTTTGTGGTCCTAATACCTCTGCACCTCCAATTAGCACAATTGGCTACGTACGGTACGAAAGAAGTTCAACATACATGGGACACGTAAAATATGTCCCAGATTAATGTAGGAAGCCAGTACTAGCCGTTGTCCAATACAGACACGAAACCCCACCAAAGCATTGGTGACGTGTTACTGGCGCTGACTCGTTTAATGTGGAAATTTGAAGTTGTCAGCTAAAATGTAATTTTAAATACAAATCGCGTAACGAGACCTCATTCACATCACATCCCTCGCACGGTAATGGCAATGAAGATGATGCTCATAGCTGGAACACGTGGAGCGTGCGCGTGCACACGTGCCTCCCTGCAGCTGCACGAAGCCGGCGTGGGAGAGCCACGCGCCAGGTTCCCCAGCAGGCAGGGAACGGGTGTGCGACTCCACGAGCTTCAGGGAATTCTGGGTAGCTCTCTGTTCACAAAAGTAGACAAATCAACCCCACGCAATCATTCATACATTTGGCGTTTGTACCACGAGGGTATCACGAAGGCGAAGCTAGATTCTGCCAACAGGGGACGATGGTTGTGATGTGTTTTTTCCCCTGATTAAGTAATTTGTTGCAGGTAACGTTCAATCTTGGTAAATTTGAAGTGTGACGCCACCACGCAATAACCTACCCTAGTCTTGAACGACGTCACAGGAACGTTAACGTCCGCTGTGAAGCACACGGCACGTGGTGTTTACAGTTAACGCACTCACAGTATTAACCAGGGCGGATGCTGGGCTCGAACCACGAACCTCTGCAACAGTGCAGATATGTGTGTGTTACCAGTGTAGATATGTGTGTGTGTGTTACCAGTGGAGAGATGTGTGTGTGTGTGTTACCAGTGTAGATATGTGTGTGTGTGTGTGTTACCAGTGGAGAGATGTGTGTGTGTCACCAGTGTAGAGATGTGTGTGTGTGTTACCAGTGGAGAGATGTGTGTGTGTGTTACCAGTGTAGAGATGTGTGTGTGTGTTACCAGTGGAGAAATGTGTGTGTGTGTTACCAGTGGAGAGATGTGTGTGTGCTACTAGTGTAGAGATTTGTGTTAACAGTGAGTGTAGTGATGTGTGTGAAACCAGTGTGTGTGTGTCTTACCAGTGTATAGATGATGAATTCTTCTGGGCCAGCCACTCCGCACACCTGCCACAGGTCTGGACCACTTGGAGATATTCCCACAATCCATTGTGCGGAACTGTAATTGTGTCAACAAGCACACACACGCACGCACTCACAGAGACACAGAGACACGCACACACGCACAAAGACAAACACAAACCAACAAATCCGCATGTGCACGGGCACATACACACACATGTACACACACACGTGTTCAGACACCCGCTCACACATGTACACAAAGACAAAGATCCTCCGTACAGCCTGGTTTGTTAGCGAGCACCTATGAAGGCCGGCACGGCACACGAGGGGGTGGGTGGCAAGCACCACGTTCGGCAGCCTTTGTCTCCCCAGTTGTGATGTTTACACACCGCACCAGGTACTAATTTGAGGCCGAGTTGACTTAGGGGAGGACTAGTACAGATAATAGGCACCGGTGTTAGCCATGAGCGGGAATCGAACTCGGGTCGCCGAGTTCGTAGCGCAGCGTGCCAATTGCCACACTACCGCTCCGCAAAGACACACAAAGAGAGATATATACACGAAACAAGTTAGCATTTGAGTTGAATGATTTAACAAGACTAAATGTGGATACGTGCTTACAAAACTTAGAGGTTATTTTAAATGGCCCTAAGATCAATAAATGCACGTTGTAATTTAAATATGTGAGAGTCGGTGAGCTCATTATTTATTTTGGAAGGTGGACGGGAGGGGGGGATAGAACTGCGCAAACTGGCAGCAGCAGCAGGTTAACGTGTTCATGCGGAGCGGTGCCACCGTTCAGCAGCAGCAGCAGGTTAACGTGTTCATGCGGAGCGGTGCCACCGTTCAGCAGCAGCAGGTTAACGTGTTCATGCGGAGCGGTGCCACCGTTCAGCAGCAGCAGGTTAACGTGTTCATGCGGAGCGGTGCCACCGTTCAGCAGCAGCAGGTTAACGTGTTCATGCGGAGCGGTGCCACCGTTCAGCAGCAGCAGGTTAACGTGTTCATGCGGAGCGGTGGCACCGTTCAGCAGCAGCAGCAGGTTAACGTGTTCATGCGGAGCGGTGCCACCGTTCAGCAGCAGCAGCAGGTTAACGTGTTCATGTGGAGCGGTGCCACCGTTCAGCAGCAGCAGGTTAACGTGTTCATGCGGAGCGGTGCCACCGTTCAGCAGCAGCAGGTTAACGTGTTCATGCGGAGCGGTGCCACCGTTCAGCAGCAGCAACAGCAGCAGCAGCATCACCTCCACCACCCGAGGGTGGACTCACTTTGGCACTCTACAAACATCGGTCAGCATGACAGGCAATGGGCAGGGAACCGGCTGACGCTCCTGGCTGGCGCTCCTGGCTGGCGCTCCCGGCTGCTGGGTGGCTGCTGCCCTTACGGTCGACCGGCTTCTCGTAGAGACGTGAATGAGGCCAATTGTCTTCTCACTTATTTTGTGACTTGTATTCAAAGACGGATTCTCCACTATGGCGTAAATTATTATTCTGCTAGGACCTTTTTATATAATGGGGGAGGGTCATTGCCTATAAACATTTGGGCCGTTGCTTGATAAGGCTGGCTGTCATCACCGGCGAAACGTCGTACTCGAATTGTAAATGTTGCGGGTTCACTCTCCAACACAACGGTGTGCTGTACCAGTAACTAATTGGCATGTTTCGTTTCCATGACAACCCTTACTAATTGGCTGTGTCAGGTGGTGGCGGGTTTAACGACACATTTATAGTTGCGTGATCTACTTATGTACAACGGGCGGCTCATGGTCTCTTATTGAGCACCATTGAATGTACCAAAAACGGAAACTGAGCATGGCCAACAATTCTGTAGGATGGCGAGTGTCGCGTGGTGGCTGGAGGAGCGATGAAGCGGGGAAACGTCAGAGGTTGTCCATGGGCCGGAGCAGGCTCGGGTAGCACATTGCAACATCAAACCAGAGACACGAACACCACTGAGACACAACACGCGTACGGTGCAGGGTACGGGGTGAACACAACGTGAGCCAGGCAGGGCGACAGCTAACGCTCGCGCTGCCGACATCGGAGGAAGTCCATGGCCCGACCGCACAGGGGTCGACGGGAGGATGCCGCAACTCCTTGCTGCAGCCCCGAGTCCCCTCCCAGGAGGAGGCAGCAGTCACACGCGGACCCCTACGAGCGCCACAGACCTGCCAGATCGCGGGCACAGTGGACTCTTACCCCCTCACCGCACCTCACGCCGTGCCGAGCCAAAGTCAAATACTGAGTGAGCACGGGGACTGTCCCAGAGCCACATGAGGACTCCCAGCTCTTGCCACCGGCTGAAACAAGCGTCCCCAGGTGGTGCCTTGGCTGCAAAAACTCGGCGGAGCGCTCGGTGTGGTAAAGTTAACTACCTCGCCTGGTATGCAGGAGGTCGTGGCATTGATTTCGACCCTGACGCCTGCTGTCTCTTTCCCCGTGGTTACGAGGAATTTTCTCCGGGTCCTCCGGTTTTTCCCCTCTATATTTATAAACACGCGTTTAATAGTATTTGCTTGCTATAAATTCCCACGTGATAAGCCACTTCGTTGAGATATCTCTTGTGGCCAGGTCACTTTTGAAAAAGAGCTAGATAGCTCAGTGGGGCCTTATCTGGTAAAATAAAAAAAAATATTTTAAGCAGTAGGCCCCCACCGTGTGGTCCTCCTGGCGGTGATGGAGAGGGGCCTGGAGCTGAGCAGCAGCGCCTGGCCCGCGGCGTCTCCTGCCAGGACGGCGCCGCCGTCGCCACCCCCTCCCTCGCCGCAAGCCTCCCACGTGGCGGCCATCGACACGAGCGGAACCTCGACTTCCAAGCTGTGCAAGCTGGGTTACAGCGCAGAGAGGAGAGGAGCCACAGCCGTTACCGCTCCGCCGCAACAAATTGACCGATTAGATGCACAACGTTTCGCTTGAAACTACGCCAAGCACCGCCGGGACAAGATCCAGAAAGACTTACAGCGAACGCTTACAGAGCACGCTCGCTTACCGGCATAACACCTCCACACGGTCCCCTGGCAGTATCCTCCAGCAGCACACCTGTCGGTCCATTCCTGCCGTCAGGAATGTTTCATCCGTCCGCTCCGGGAAGCACACGCAGCTCACTGCTCCGTCGTGAGCCTGCGGGCACCGGCGCACACAGCCACCACCGCCACCACGATCACCACTACTCGCTCCCGGTTTGCAACATTCTAAAAGTTCTCATAATGATGCACAGCTGGCCTGGAGCAAACTGTCCACGAAAGGAAATTCCTGCCCTCTCATCGTCCTCCTCTTAACTGCCGCTACGCAGTTAAGATTTCTGTCTCTACCAACTGTCTTCACTTCAAGGTCTGTGCGTCTGTATATTTGCCTTGTGTTGATGTCTGCGTGTCCATGTGTGTTGTTAATTATTGTATTTCACTGACCGCGGGTCGCGCGGACGCTCCCCGCAAGCCCTCACCTGCACCGCTGCGCTTGGGGCGAGCGCGGGGCCCGAGCAGCGGCTCCACAGCAGCACGTGGCCGTCCTCGGCCCCCGACACCACGTGACGCCCCCCCGGGGACGCCTGCACTGCCGTCACCGCGCGCTGGTGCCTGCAGGGCAGCGTGCTGGCGGCGGCTACAACAGCAACAATGCGCCATGCAACACGTACATGCACAGGCACACGCGCACGCAAACGCACGCGCACGCCACACACGCGCACACGCCCGTGACTCGTCAAGTCTCCACGAATGAAAATGGCCGTTAAACCCGGAATCCGGTCAGGAGGCAGAGGCAGAGCGAGAGCCCCACAATCAGAAGGTTGCGAGTTCAACTCCTGGCTGGGGGTTTGCTCGGCCCATTATTCCTCCAACTCTGAGGTTGCTAAGGTGAGGAACACTTTGTGGGGAAGTCAACAATGGTTTTCCTATGGATGAACGCACCCCCGTCAGAGGAATGTGGAATTGCCACCACCGGCTCCAAGATCTGAATGTAGATGACCGCCGCCTCAATCCTCACTCAAGAAGGAAATCACTTTCACGACTTTATTTTGAATGCATTTCTAAATTACCGGCAGGTATTTGGCCAAAGCCAATTTACAACCTCTAAAATACATCGACGGAATTCGGTGTTTTGTACACCTTTAAAGCACAACGGTATATCTAGACACTGGAATGTCGACCAGAAATGCTATTCGAATTGCCTACATGGTGTCACCTGTGCAATAGCCATGTGATTTGGCACAAGGAAGGAAGAGACGGCAAGATAAAGAGGTTATCAATTCTAGGTTCACTCCAACGCTGTCCTCTGGACAGTCCGGTCCCTTCACCTGATGAAGGCCACTTGTGTTGTGGCCGAAACGTCGTGAATTTTTTTGTTGTTTTATTTTTTACCTACGTGACTTTACCGAATAAAACCAAAGAGTAAAGATAAAGAGGCATCAACAACACTGACCCACAATACCGTGAATGCTGTGCACGCACGATTCACGGTGGCGGTGATGCAACGTGGGGTCCCCGTTCACCGCCCGGCCTCCATGATCGCGATGAACAACTGTCGGAATGCCCAACCCTGACCAACCAGGGTGGGGTGGATGGGGAATGACCGCGTCTCACCGGGCAGAATACGGAGTTGCCACATCTTGACGGAGCCATCCTTGGAGGCAGAGAGGGCGTAATTGGAGAGTGCTGTTACAGCCAGAGCCTGCACTGGGCCTGAGTGTTCGCTCAGAGACGCCAGCTCGCTGCCCTGAGGCCGGACAAACATCCGGTGGGAGGGGGGAGCGTGGTTACAGCCTCAGTGGACACAACATCGCTGCCACGTTCTCCTCTCTGCCAGATCGCGCTGCAGCTGCATTGGAGATTCGCAGCGGCCTCCGAGATCTGCCCTGATGGTCCCCCAGCGTCTGCTCTCAGGTCTGCTCTGCCATTGAATGGGCACGAGAAGGCATTCTCGAACACAGCGTGATGCACTGCTCACTACAGAGTTCTGCGACGCTACTGCGTGCGAGTAGACAAGCGCGCCACGGCCAAGCAGGGCGAGCGACGCGTGGCCAGGCAGGGCGAGGGACGCGTGGCCAGGCAGGGCGAGCGACGCGTGGCCAGGCAGGGCGAGCGACGCGTGGCCAGGCAGGGCGAGCGACGCTTGGCCAGGCAGGGCGAGCGACGCGCGGCCAGGCAGGGCGAGCGACGCACCATGAGTGGGGCCCAGATCCGCACGGTGCCGTCGTCGCTGGCGGAGGCCGCACGCAGTGCCTCGGAGAGCGCCTCCCCCGGCCGCTTCCCTGTGAGGCACCGCGGTATCGAGCACGGTCAACAACTTGGCGGAAAAAAAAAACCATCACAAAAAGTTTACGTTTGACAATAGAAATTCGGCTCAATTGAGCAGTGAGGCAGTGCTCATTTCCCCTTTACAGCCCTGAGCAAATGGTGGAAATTCCAACGTACTGTTGACTTCTCCACAAAGTGGAACTTATTTTTATCAACCGCAGAGGGATGACAGAGTGAGTTAACCCCCAATCAGGATTTGAACTTGCAACTTTCCACTTGCAAGCCACTCGCTTTACCAAACAGATTTTTTAAAAACTCCTTTCAATATCCCACGAGATGAAACCGAGTGAGGTAATTCCAGAGCAACCTCGTGTGGTGTTAACGGCCCCCAACGTGGTCCAATCGGTGCCACAGTAGTCACCACTATCAACCATGAGCCACAAGGGCCATGTGTTTGTTAATAAGGAAAATAACAATAATAATAATAATTTAGAATAATTTGTCAATCCACTGGTGGATGAAGGCCTCCCCACTACTTTCATGTCACGGGGTTGTTTTTATTATACTGCACCATGCTGGGCATTGCAGGTTGGCGAAGAGGAGGCGGGCCGAGCACTGGTTCAAACGTCGGTGATCGGGTTCGTAGAGAAGTGCGCTAACCGATGTGCCAATACTCCTCCCCTTGTGCTTAGTTGTGGGGAGCAGGTAGGGCAGCGGTTAGCGCTGCGGTACGAATCCAGCGACCCGAGAATCGATTCCCGCTCACGGCCAACACCAGCGATGATTATCTGAACTGTTCCTAGGCCTCTCCTAGGCCGACTCGGTCCCAAATGAGTACCTGGTGCGGTGTTAAACATTCAACAACTAGGAAAACAAATGTGACCGGGTGTGGTGCTGTCCATCCACCCCCTCGTGTGCCGTGTCGGCCTTCATAGGTGCTACTCGCTAACAGAACTTGCCCCTATAGTTTGTAAAGCCTATACAAAGGGATATTTGTCTTTGTTATTTTTGGCTGAGATGTAAGAAACAGATTGCGCACGACACACAATGCACACGTGCACCGTATGAACACAACACTGTCAGCCTTGACACATGATGTAAACCACCAGTTACTGAAGAAAATGCACTGTGGTTATATTCTCTTAAATTACCAACAATAAATTGAGTGAATGTGATTAATCAACAGGAACCAGTGAGACAGAGACAACTGTAGACTGGTTTCGTCCTTATTGGGATTCATCGGGAGAGTACACTGATGAGATGGGTTTGCTCGAGATGGGTTTTCTCGTCATTCACAAATTCGAACAAAATACTCAGCGGCAGCAGCGGCAACAGCGGCAGCAGCAGCAGCGCGAAGTTCGGCGTTGGGCCCGGGTGCTGCCCACCTGCACCCTGCTGCTGCTGCTGCAGCCAGACCCAGGCGCCGTTGATGCGCTGCGCGTGTGCGGGGATGCACGCCACCTCCTGGCCCGAGCAGCGCCACGCACGGAGCTCCCCATCGGAGCTTCCCGAGAGAATCACCCCGTCCTGGAAAGGAGGACAACTTCAGAATGAGAACAACCAGACTCGATCCAACGGGAGAAACATCTCGACTAACGGCAGAATCTCTCCCCGTGTGCCCGTCAGGTCCTTGAGTGATCACCAGGGATGCCCAGATCTTGTTGCCAACGATTGCTTCCTGGATCTATCCCTGAATATTCTTGGCGTCATCTGATTGCAAGATTTGTGACAATTGCTCTTCAACTTGCCGGTGAGTGAGCGGAGACAATAACAATTGGTGCATTAAACGCTCGTAAGCCATGTGACAATTTTATTTGTTTGGCCATGTTGCGTGGTGGAGGGTTGTATGGAATACCCAAACACACCATCCGTCATAGTACTGGCAAAGGAGGTCTCATAATACACCATCCATCGTCACATCCGCACCACGTTCAACCACCACACTGCAGTTCACCAGCAGACTTGCGTTTTCCTTCGCACTGCTCCACTTTGGACTTCCCTCCCAACTTCTCTTTTCGCCAAGCTCGTACGATAACGTTGCTCAATTCCAGAGACGCCTGGGCTCAGCTTACTCACCGTGACACTCACGCAGTTAACTGAGCTCTGGTGGCCCCTCAATTCTCGCTGCAGGTGGCCCGTGCTGGCATCCCACACCTTCACGGTGCAGTCGTTTGAGCAGGACACCTGGAAAACGAGAGGGGGAACCACGCGGCGACACAAAGGCGATGCCTCGAGCTGACAACAACAACACGGCGCTTCCAGAGCTTCCCCTGGAAATGCCTCCAAGGCCACCGATAATTATATTGATGATAATAAAAAAAAAATATTATTATTTCATCTCAAACGTGTGAGGGTGGCACGCTCACAAACAGCGGGCGAATGCACGGCTCCCATCGGGCCACAGTGTTCTCAGCCAGGGCGCTGTGCGCGCAACGTAGTGGGTCACGTGACACGCGAGGCAACGCGTGGGAGCGGTGCATTCCTGCCGAAAGCGGAACGGCGCCATCGCGCGTCGTTAATTCCAAACGACGCAGGCGGCAGACTCGCGCTGAGGACTTACCACGGTTTCCCCGTCGCGGTCCCAGTGCACGCCCGTCACCCAGTCGCCGTGGGAGCTGGGCACACGCAGCCGGGCCCGGGAGGCTTGCACCTCCCAGAAGACCAGGCTCTGCGTCCCACACGCAGCCACACGGTCACATGGCCACACGGTCACATGGCCGCACAGCCACGGCCGCACGGCCGCACGGCCACACTTTGACTTCTAATGACACGGCCACACGGCCACGCACTGCTCGCGGCTGCGCTGGGATTGCGATTATTCCATACCCGGTCCTTGCTGCCCGTGAGCAACTGAGAGCCGTCGGGACTGAAGCAGCAGCAGGTGACGGCTCCCTCATGACCCCACAGCACGCCGCTCGGGGCGCTCGTCGCCTCACCCTGGCCGCCGAGGGCCTCCCCGATCGGCCACAGCACCACCATGGCGTCGTCTGCGGAACGATGCGCAGAGCGCGAGGCAACGGCGCCGTTTCTACGGTACGTGTGTGTAGTATTTGTGTCCGGTATATTTTCCATATGCATTATACTCATTGGAAAAAAAAATTGTAATACATATGGAACTATTGGGGATCATATTCTTTGGGTCTTTCGGTAAAGTCACATAGATAGGTTCAAAGAAAATAACAAACTACGGTCGTCATCAGGAAAAGGGACCCCTTTTCCTGATGACGACCGCTTGTGTTGCAACCGAAACGTTGCAGCTTTTAGTTATTTACTTTCTTTGAACCTATCTACGTGACTTTACCGAAAGACACAAATAATATGAATTCCTGCAGTTACGAAAGCTTTAAGCCAAGATCTAACTATTGGGGATTTAGAAGCGGTAGTCTGTACATAGACAGGACGCGTGCATTTCACATGTAGGTACCCCACCCAAGTTCATACAGCGCGGGCTCCGATCGACGTTCTGGAAAACGGTTCAGGGCCGTGAACGGGAGATCAGCACTCAACTGGGCAGGGAATCACTTTGGCTTCTACTGACAACGTAAACGCACGGGAGTCACGTGACTGCGTGACCTCAACCGACGTTGGCGCCCGGGGTGGCGCGAGGGGTGGACGCAAGAGGAACGCGCACCGGAGGCGGCGGCGAGGAAGCGGTCGGAGCAGGCGAGGGCGCGCACGGCGCCGCTGAGGCCCTGCAGCGTCCGGTTCAGGGTCAGGGCCGCCGCGTCGCCCAGGGCCTCCTCGCCGCTGAGCCGCCACACCTTCACGGAGCCGCCCTCCGAGCCGGACGCCAGCGCCGTGCCGCCAGCGCCCAGGAGCCACACGACGCAGTGCACCGCGTGCGGGTGGGCCTGCACCTCCACGGTGACGCCTAGCAAAGACAGAGGTCCCCCGTGGAGCCTTTAACAGACTGTTCGGGCAAGTGCTGTTCACGAGCACCTGTTAAGGCTGGCGAGGCGCACGAGGGGGTGGGTGGCTAGCACCAGACCCGCCTTTCTGTGTCTCCCCAGTAGCGATGTTTAAACATCTTACCAGGTACTCAATTAAGGCTGAGTCAAGCTAGGGAAGGCCCAGGACCGGTTAAAATATTGGCCAATGTTATTCGATATGAGCAGGATCGAACACTGGTCGCAGGGTTTGCAGCACAGTGCGCTAACCACTGCACCATCGCTCTCCACAACAAACAAAACAAAGATCCCCCATAGAGCCTTAACAAACACATTGCGAGGTCATGCACAATCAGTGTTCACTTTCATTAGATCATTGCGTGGCCTAACCCAAAATCTATAATGAGTACGATGGATATTATTCAGATTATTTACTGTGGATCTGACGATGGGGGTGTGCTCTATACGTTAAATGAACACTGAAGTCAAATTTCAGCAGCTACAGCTCAGAAAGAGTGAGAGCAAAACACTGGTGAGGCTAAGTCAACGAGCCATCCTGCACAAAGGCGACGACGCAACTACAACTGCCGAGTGTTCGATGACCTTGTTTGTGATGAATGCATCTGCCTTGTGTCTGGAACAGCAGCAAGGGGTAGAGACGACCCCAGAAGTCCTACATCACTACTTCGAGACAATACGTCAACTGGAAAAATAAACCAATGCAACTTACACTGTCGTTAACTTTCACTGAATGAGATCTCATTGAATGAACGTAAGTTTAAAATCTAATTGATATATGCTGTGGTTTTGTTCGTGACATTGTTCAGTGATCTGTCGTTGGAATTTTGAAATATAAACATTGGAATAAAAACTGTAAGGAAGCACGTGGGGCAGTGACATGGCCCAGCGTGTCACAGCATTTGCCGCTTGTCGCAGAGGTTTGTGGTTCGAATCCAACAGGCCAACCTGGTAAATAATGTGAGTGAAATAACCGTAAAATACTATGCTCCGTCTACCACACAGTGGACGTCAAAGATCCGACATGTCATTCAAAACGAATGGCCGCTGTGTTCTGGTGTCATTGTCCAAACTTGCCAAAATTGTAAAAAAAAAATCCGCGAAGTATTAATTTAGGATTATACACAGCTATCATCGGCCAGTGCCCGCTTCCAGGCCTAGCGCCCACAGAGACAGCTGCCCCTGAGGGGGTGGGAACTTTTAATCATGGAGACGAGGTGTGACGTAAGCCGCCTGGGAGTTTCTGACTCGCGGAAAGCGTGCGCGCCATCTTCACGCACGAAGGTTACAATTCGCGACCTCGGGCCGCGTGCGCGCCCTGCTGCGGCGCTTGCGGGGGGCGGGGGGCGGGGGGCGGGGGGGGGGGGGTGTTCACCCGAGTGGACGCCGTGCACGCGCACGCTGCCGCTGTGCAGCCCCACGGCGAGCTGGGAGCCGTCCGGGCTCCCTGACACACAGAGCGCCGCCACCACCGCCACCGGCACCGCGTCCCGTCCCGGGCCACCCAGTACCGCCACCGGCCGGCCGAGCCCCCCCGTCCACACCCGCACCTGCAGACAAGGTTTCAGTTTTTCAGTTTTCAGTTTCTTTATGTTGGTATAGCCCCGTGAGCCATTCGGCTCTTGAATCGGGTGCAACCGCAACAAACAAAAAAACAAAAACACGAACAAGAAAAACATCTTAAGCTCGTGGCCTCGCGGAACAAAAAAATAAAACGCCTGGGTTCGATTCACGACGTGGGCGTCTCTCTGTGCGAAGTCATGTGTCCTCCGCCTGTTCTGCATGCGCTTCGCCCGGGTTCTCCCATAGCCAAGACACACGCACGCCGCCACGTACCTTTACTCACATACCCGTATTTACCTTGTTGTCATCGCCTCCGGTTAGCAGATAGCGACCATCTGGGGTGAACTGGACACAGTTCACCGGGCCTTTGTGGCCCAGGTAGGTGCCCAGGACGGTGCCCGACTCAGACGACCACAATATGACCTCGCCATCCAGGGCAGCCGAGGCCAGGTACTTGCCGGACGGGCTGTAGGCCACCGCGCGGACTGCTGCACCATGGCCACGCAGAGTCTAGGCGCGGCACGCGGAGCAATCGCAAAGGGCAAACGGCGCGCATCACACGGTCAAGGACAACGGTCATCACAGCCATTGATTGCTACCACACCTCGCTATCGCTTCCTTCCTTTTGCTAGCTTTTCACTGCTGTTGCACAATTTTGGGGGCGCTGACAATACATAGCCAAACGTTTATTCGGTGCAACATTCCCAGACTTTGAAAACCAAGCATTTAAATGACTCGCTGCCTATAGTGGCTCGCACCGACTGGTACCAATTCAACTCACGGCAGAGTCCGTGGCACGGGCTGGTGGACGCCTGCGTGAGCGTGCGGATACGCGCGCGTGCACGAGTTTGTGCGCGCAGCTCTTGCCCAAACATCCCAATATGGGACCACAGAGCTTGGGCGATCGTTGACGTCGGTTCTGGCCACCTTCCCCGCTCGTCTGCGGCTTTCTGCGCGGGCCACCATGCGGGAGGAACCGTGGTGTGGTGTCGCAAATGTGCGCCAACGACGCCGCGTACGCACCGAACGTCGCTAGCGTCACTGTTGCGCGCACGGCGTCGTGCGAACAGAGGCGCGGGAGGGGAGGGCGCTCACGGAAACGCGCCGGAGGTGGAAGACGTCCCACGTGACGAGCGCCGAGTCCCAGCTGCCGGTGACCGCGAGCGCACCCAGGGGGTGAACGGCGACGCAGGAGAGCGGCCGGCTGGAACTCAGCTCGGCGACGCAACGCCCCTCGGTCACGCTCCAAATCTACACCGCGCGCAGAGACGAAGATCCCCCGTGTAGCCTTGCCGACTGTCTGGGTGCGAGTGCGGTGATGTTTACACACCGCACCAGGTACTCATCTGAGGCTGAGTCGACCTAGGTGGAGACTCAGGACCTGTGCAGATAATTGTCAATGGTGTTGGCCGTGAGCGAGAATCGAACTCGGGTCGCTGGGTTTGTAGCGCAGTGCACTAACCGCTGCTCTACAGAACACATGCACACACAGCCCGCACTCCAAACCTTCACACAACCAACCATGAACTAAATCAGTTTTATAAAAATTGAACGCCTTCAGAAAATGTATTCTGCACATCACACGGTAGAATGTTGTAGTTCTTGGGCGACCTCTGTAAATCCACGTACGAATGTTGGTGAATGTGCGTGCGCATGAGGCACAGGTGGTGCATCTGCCAGTCATCTCGGTAATTTAACCTATAACACCTGGGTCTGTCCCGTGACCTTTTGCCACTTTACGCGACGGCCTCAAAGTGCACCGAGCCTGGGACACAAGCGCCGTGGTAACATCACCGCCACGTAGTGGCGAACGGCGGCCGCCGCTGCCGTTGCCGGGTAATGGTGGGAGCGGCGGTTTGCGTTGGGCACCTTGAGTGAACAGTCCCATGACACCGTCAGCACCTGCCTGCCGCAGGTGCTGGGAGCACAGCCAGACACGCGCAGCCTGTGCGCCTGCACACTCAGCACCCTGCGCACGCACGCACACACGCACGCACACGGGGAGAGAACCTCAGCGCTAACAGCAGAGCTCCACCGACACCGTCTCTCACGCAGCACAGGGTTACGGAAATCCACGTTTCTCCACACCGAGCTGCCAGGCTGGAGGAGCCGCGTGAGGTCCCCAAAGCGACGCGGGGGCGTTGTGTTTGCAGTCCGTTGCATAATGCTACCTGTATCCCTCCCGGATGTTCCACGTGGACATCTGTCCATTACTCGTGCCCAGGCAGATGAGGTTTTCGGACAGAAAGCAGCATGCGGAGATGCCTTCGCTGTGTGCGGACACGCTCTGCAGCTCCTTGGAGAAGAAAGATATTCGTAAAGAAAATCGACAAAATATTCACGTAAAGAATAAACTATTTTAATGCCAGTGTTAAAATAAACGAAATAACCCTATGTGTCCTGACTTTTGCGCCACCCTGTATAGAAATATAAAACAATGAAACACTGTACTCTTTGGTTCTATTCGGTAAAGTCACATAGGTAAAAATAAAATAATATAACAAAAATCACGACGTTTCGGCCACAACACAAGTGGCCTTCATCAGGTGAAGGGACCGGACTGACCAGAGGACTGTCCAGAGGACAGTCCGGTCCCTACACCTGATGAAGGCCGCTTGTGTTGTGGCCGAAACGTCGTGATTTTTGTTGTTTTATTTTTTACCTACGTGACTTTACCGAATAGAACCAAAGAGTATGGATCATTGCGGTCACGAAAGCTTCAAATCTAGAAATGAAACACTGCTTTATTCTTTTAAATGAACGTGTTGCTGAATCGGGCACAACTTGTTACGTTGTTGGTCAAAGATCGCTTCTGCTGCCCGCCTTGCGCTCAGGATCAAGGGGGTGGGATGGTTTATGAGTGTCCCCAGTAATTCATCACTCCCTACTGCCAGACTAATGCCCGACTGTCACCCAGTTGTCACGCACTGTGTTATTCCAAGTGAGCAATTTGCAGGTAATGTTTCAATTTTCGCAAAGGTAGGACCACAAAGCCGTCTCCTCATCTATATATATAAAAGGGAAATTTGTGAATGTCTGTTCGAACATGCAACAAACTTTAAATTTGGCATGTGCGTAGCTTCCAGACTGTACACAATGCAAAAAGTATAAAAATTTGACTTTTGTATTTTGGGGGGGGGGGGGGGGGTGGGGGGGCGAAAAAATGGATGTATTATATTGCACGGCAAGTGAGCGGTGACGTCACATCTGTCATGTCACCCGCATGCGGAAGCGTTACGCAGTGTGCCTGCTGACGTCACGCACCCCACCCCCCCCCCACCCTCCCGTAGGCCGTGTATTAATCCAAGACAAGAATCCAAGCCTCGGGTGAAGCCGGGTAGTAAAAGCTAGTTGCGTATAATTCTCATCTCCTACAACTCTGACGGTGCGGTTTGTTGCTGGCCGCTTAACGTCTTGGGCCTTTGAGCCCTGCGTGCTAAGCGGCGGCTGCGTCCGGAGCAAATCACGGGGAGAGGCGGCGGCGGCGCTTGCCTTGCCCGTGTCGATGTGCAGCAGCTGCACGTGCCCCAGGCCGGTTGCCACGATGACCGCGTCGCTGCGCACGCACGTCGCCAGGCACCACGGCTCCCCCGTGAAGCCTCCCGTCGTCCTGGAGGCGCGGAAGCAAGCGGAGAAACCCTCGTCGCTTCACTGATCAAACTCTGGTCAAAACACCGATCAATCAACAGGAGAAACTCTCGTCGCTCCACTGATCAATCAAACTCTTGTCGCTCCACCGTTCCATCAAGAGGACAAATCCTCTTCGCTCCACCGATCAATCAACAAGAGAAACCCTCGTCGCTCCACTGATTAACTCATCCCCCCGTACCGCAGGGCAGCTGGGGCAGCATGGTGCCTGTTGACCCACTCGACGACGAAGCCCGGCCGCGGGCTCGTGACTCCTCGCGTGGCCCAGGAGGCCTCCACCGCCAGCGACACGGCCTGCACGCTGGCAGGAGACCCGGGGGCCGAGTTGATGGCCTGCTGCCACATCAGCCTTGGGCTCCGACGCAGGATGTGCTGGTTCTGGCTCACAAACTCTCGCAACCCTTCCACGTCCGGGCAAGGGGCGAGCCCCTGCTGGGCAACGGAAGTCGCTGAAAACAACGCACACGATGCGCACACGCGATCACCTCTTCCGTGGGATTCAGTCTATTAAATGTAAAATCGTGTTAACATTTTATGTCGTTAGCTTTTGTCTGTGTCAGCTGAAGTTTAGGTTTCTCTGCGCTATCCGCGCTTCAGTCTCACGCGTGTTACCGACTTTGGTGTAAACCATTGCAAACCTTGTAATGATTCATAATAGAGGTTTGTTTGGGGTTAGATGGCGTAAATATCTAAATGTGTCCATAAAACCCGCCACAACCCGACACAGCCAACTAGTAAGGGTTGCCACGTAAACAGAACGTGGCCAATTCGTCACTAGTACAGCACACCGGTGTGTTGGAGAGCCAAGCCACAATATTTACAATCTGAGTACGACGTTTCGCCAGTAATTACAACTAGCTTCATCAGGCGACAGCCAGATTTGTGGAGAAATCCACCTGTTTCGTTCCTTATATAGAGGCGTAGATGTGGTGACCACGCTTCTACGCTCTTGCGCAAAGTCCTGGCTGACGACCACAACATCATCAGTGCACGATGCTTGCGAGAAACTCTCCCACTTGGGTATAGGGAGGAGAAAACCCGGGCTACCGTAGAGGTCGAAGTCTTCCAGAAGTTGGGGGACGGTGCGGTTGGCAATTTTGAGGTAGAGGAATCGGAGGTCGGCCAGCAGGTGACCCAGTTTCACCGCCAGCCCCGCATGGACCTGCAATCGCCAAGTCACTAGTCAAGTGCAGTAGTGTAGGTGCCGGGATCACAACGAGAGCCAGCGACACGCGATGCGCTGCCGGTGTCGTCCACGACTGTGCCAAAGCAGCTCTGACACAAGAACGGCAGAGCGCGCAAAACACGCCAACAACTCGTGAAATGTTTGTGTGCAGGAAATGTTCCGGCACATTTTCAGCTGAAAAGTTGAGCTACACAATTGGGTGGTAGTCAGGTGAGCAGGAAGGGGCAGGTGGGCGGGGCCCAGTAAACATGCATCGTCGGGCCAACGTTAGTACAACGATACCAACCACGCGCAACGTTGACCCAACGTTGCGTGTTTACTGGGAGGGTAGATAGGCAGGTGGGTAGGAGGGTAGGTGGGTAGACAAGCAGGAGGGTGGGTGGATGAGACGACCACAGAGGCCTGACGTACCAGGTGGTAAGGCAGCTCAGCCAGGACGTCTGGGTCCACGCGTGGCACGCGTCCATCCTGCCACGGCTTCAACTTCTTGAGCAGATGCACTGTGGGGCAAAGCATGGGAAGGGTCAATTGGGCTGGTGGATCGCACGCGCTTACGAAACTCCCTCCCCACCCAGGCGGCCCAAGGTCGCCATCTCCCGACTTGCCAACGTATGGCAGCAGTACAGCAAGTGGGTTAACTTTCGTCTGTACGGGGATTGAGCGTTACCCCCCCTCCGCCCCCAACCTCGGACGCGTGGGTTTTCTCTCACACGTTTAAACGCTCAATAGTGGAGTTGGACACAGAGCGTGGGCAATCGTTGGCAGTGCCGGTTCCTCGTGCAGGCAAGACTCTGGTGGGCAGACACTCACACGGAGATGTCGCACTCAGGAGTAGTAACGCTCACGCCGCTCGGTCGTAGGGGAGGAAGCCGTGCTGAGCGGGGGCACCGGGAGGAGAGCGGACATGGAGCGCAGGGGAGCTGACGCCACCAGGGAGACGGCAGTCGCCACGCTGCGTTGACAGCAGCGCAGTGGCACGGAAGCAACCGGCAGTGTGTTGCAACCCATACGAAAATTTGCCCACCGCGTGATGAGCCCGGCCTTCGTAGGCGCTCGCTAACAGCACTTGCCCCAACAGCCTGCGAAGGCTACACGGGGCATCTTTTTGTTTCGTATGATGCCACGCGCATTACGGACCTGCAATAGCCGTGTGAGCGAGGCTTTCCGAGTCGCCCCGATGCAGGTATCGCGAGCGCACCACCAACAGCGCCGGCTCCTGGGACAGCAGTTGCAGGTGCTCGGTCGCCGAGCCCTCGCTGCTGCACGATCCGCCGGCAAAGCTACGGAACAAACACGCGGCCAGGGAGCGGCACAAACTCGCGGCCTCACACCACCAGGGAGAGGCACAAACACGCGGCCTCACATCACCAGAGAGCGGCACAAACTCGCGGCCTCGCACCAGCAGGGAGGGGCACAAACTCGCTGCCTTGCACCACCAGGGAGTGGGTCACTTGCAGGAGCTTCTTCAGGAGGTTGCTGCCAAGTTTTCAAAGAAGGAGGGAAATATTGCTGCTGGGTGTAATCCCTATTGAGTCATTTGCAGATAATTTTTCATCAATGGGACGTTTGACCAATACCCGTAAAACAAATTCTTAGCTGATAAATGCATGTAATCAATGCGCGTCTATTTCTGAACACAACACCGAGCGTTCACCGTGCGCGACACATCTTCAAGGTCGCCGCCGTGCCGTGTTTGCGGCGAGTGCGCGGCACGAGCGTCACTTTAACGCGTAGGCCACAAGCGTCAATCGGCGGGTTGCAGCGAACGGACCTCCTGAGCTCACGGATTAGGTGACTGAAGCGGGCCATGGGCAGGGCGTTGCGGGGCGACATCGGCAGCGCGTCGAGCTTCTCCCAGAACTCCAAGGGATCGTGCACGGTCTTGGCCGCCTTGCGTTTGCCTGGAGCTCCGGGCTCCGTCGCCCACAGCCCAGCGGCCAGGCACAGGCTCACGACCTGTCGCAGGTCCTCGTCGGCCAGGCCTGCGATCACAAACACCACGCGATGACACGGAGCGCGGCGCTGGCCACCAGAAGGCTTGGGGGCAGCGGGCAGCGGGCAGCAGGTTGACTGAGCCAAACCTCCGGTTTGGGGTTGATCAAATGTATGCATACCACTTTGTGGGGAAGTCAATCGTGGTTGTTCTATGGAGAGACTCGACCCCACAATTTCCACCACTGAACAGATGAGCGCCTGCCTCGATGCTCGGGGAATCACTTTGACGAGCAGCAGATCACTGGCGAGGAGCATGCAGATAGAGTAGTCAGGGCGGTTTCCTCCTCATACCCAAATATTCACCCAGCTTCGTGATCGGCTCAGTTTCAGAGGCTCGATCACCTGAGCCCCTTCTCCCGCGTGGGCGAGTGCGACGTCGCGTCCACCCTGCGAGTCGCCACGTGCCTGCCGAGCGGTAGGGACCACGCAGCCAGAGGGTCTGCGGTGCACGACAACGCGGCGCTCGACTCAAGAACAAGGTGGTAATTTCAGGACCGCGGCCGGGGCCACCGCGGCAAAAACCCCCGGCAGGAGCTGAGCGCGCCACGCCGTGCGGGACGCGCCGAGGGCGCCACGTCGTGCGGGACGCGCCCAGGGCGCCACGTCGTGCGGGACACGCCCAGGGCGCCACGTCGTGCGGGACGCGCGAGCGAGGGCACCACCTGTGCGGCTGCAGCAGAGCGAGGCGAGGGCGGCCCGCACGGTGGGGGCGCCGTGGTCGTCCTCCAGGCGTGCGAGCACCTCCTGTAGCAGGCCGCTCACCGTCTGCGGCATTTGCTTGATCCTCTCGCTCACCTACAGTGGGCGGCAGAACGGTCCCCGCCGACTCTTCAATACGCCGCGGGTTTCCGTAGCCAACGTTACAATTCGTAATTGACCCTTGGTTGAGGCCACTTCATGATCTGGCCACACTTGTGTTGTTAAGACCCTCCACCACCCGACATAGGCAAACAATTTAAAATTGTCTCGTGTGCAAATGGTGATAAAAAACTCTCACAAGCACATTTAGCAATCAGATGCATGGCAATTTGTTTAAAACAGCATCAAGCACGCTCAGGACAACATTATCTCAGCTCGTGTGCCACAGCAGTTGGCTCAGCAGCAGAGCGAGCGGCTCGCGATCAGAAGGTTGTGAGTTTGGCCGATCACGATGAAGCGTTCCGCATGGCCTCGCGTTGGTAGAAAGGCACCCAGGTGTGAAGGACAAGGGCGGCGGTGACGACGCCATCACCTTGCTGAAGAGCCCGAATGCACGCAGCTCCCGGCAGGCGATGGCGAGGAACAGAGGGCAGCGAGACTCCCGCTTGGCGAGCAGCAGTGACATCTGTGCACGCGATACACGCGACGCACACGCTCGTTTACAAACAAATTGAATGCATTTATAGATTTGAAGCTTTCGTGACTGCAAGGATCCATACTCTTTGGTTCTATTCGGTAAAGTCACGTAGGTAAAAAATAAAACAACAAAAATCACGACGTTTCGGCCACAACACAAGTGGCCTTCATCAGGTGAAGGGACCGTGCTGTCACGAAGACAGTGTTCGTGACAGCACGGTCCCTTCACCTGATGAAGGCCACTTGTGTTGTGGCCGAAACGTCGTGATTTTTGTTGTTTTATTTTTTACCTACGTGACTTTACCGAATAGAACCAAATTGAATGCACTCAAGGGATAGCATTGAGGAAGTAGCGAGTCCCGCGTTCCCTCCTGAACACACGGAGGCTTGGAGCGCACCGCGCCACACTCGAGTACCCCGCAACGGCACCGTCCGCACGAGCTGCGCAGGGTAACGGTCAGCGCGCTGGACTCGTGATGCAGAGGTCAAGGTTCGATTCCATCTTCCGGAGCGACGGCCGAAACAATGGAACGAGGTGCTAAAATCCAACCCCCCCCCCCCCTCCGCCTCATAGTGAACACCGGAATTAGTCTAAAATCGGCGGGTCACGTGCGGTGGGATAAAATGTGGGTACTCCCACCTCTTCCAAGGTGTCCAGTCAACGTGAAAAAGTGGTTGACACAGAATCAGAATCTTCATTTAGACTGGAGGAATCCGATGAGCTACGCAATCTCTTCATCACAGACGTCCAAGCAGCGGCGGGTGACGTCCAGGCTTCCTGCTCAGCCGGGGTGGATGGAGCGCGCGCCGAGTGAGCGACCCACCTGATTGTTGGAGTGCGACTCATCCAATTTCTTGTGGTGGGAGGCCAGGGTGCGGCGCACCAAGTCGGCCTTCTCCTGCCGCTCGAGTGGCCCCACACAGACCTGGGCCACCGAGCAAACCCTCAGCAGGGCCTTGTCCAGGCTCGACCCCAGTGTAGCGCTCACCACCAGCCGCACCCCCTACATGCAGCCAAGTCGGTGCACAACGTCAACACGTCACACCGGTCCGCACGCCCCCTCGCATCGACAGCCTTCCGCTACGAGCAACAACAACTCCTTCTCAATGTCCATTGCTACGGTGAGCCAACAAAGTGTCCACACACAGCGACCGGCGCCTCCTGCTGGCAGAGCAATGCCCGTTTGCAGGCCGAGTCACCTTCTGCCACACAGGGGCAGCTGTCACTGGGGGTGCCCTTCGAATGTTGAGATAAGATGTGTTGCTGAGAAATGAAGCACATGTAAGTTCAAAGATTACTTTTTGTAACTGTTACGCCATGAAGAAAACATATTACTACGTCCAGAGCCAGATTTAAATTGAAACGCAGATAAAATTTTCCGATGGGCTCCACGTTGTAGAACCAAACCGCGTCGCGCAGGCCTCACGAGCCATCTGAATTCAGCTCGGAGCCAAGCAGGGCCAGGGGCGGGCGGGGATAACGACGCCGCCATTGCGTGACGTCGATGAGTACGCCGCGAGAACACGGCATCGCAGTGGCACGGCTCGGGGCGCCTCGTGAGCCGCGGAACTCCGGCGCGGTCACGCGGTGGGGGAGAGGCGGCGTGCGCGGGCGACTCACGGGCGGGATGGGGATGGGCAGCCAGTCGGCGGAGCGTCCGAGCTGGCCGTCCAGTCCGTCCACGAGCACGGTGAGGATGAGCCCAGGCTTGCGGCAACGCCGGGCCGCGGCTTCGCCGACGAAGTCCGGCCGCCCGCGCCGCGCTCCCGCGCCGGCGACCGGCACCCTCTCGGCGCCAGTTCCTCCGGCCTGCATGAGCAGGCTCTTAAAAAGCGACGCCAATGCCCTGCGCACAGCCGGCACCAACAAATCCGTGCAAAACGCCGCGTGACAGAGCAGCCAACAGAATCCATAAACAGATGGATTTTTAAAAGTGGCATTTTACAAGGCTTGATGTTTATCACGCAGTTGAAGAGATACATTGATTACTTATGTAAATAAGAAACTAGAAACCAATCCGCGATATAAATTCAAGTAAGTTGAGATAAGGATTCCTTGCCCAGAATTGTTGTTTTTTACTAAGATGAGCAGTAAATTTGCAAGCAGGTTAAAGAAACACGTGTCAGGAGAAGCACTCCACCAGCTTGCAGCTGCTCCCCACCGACACGGGAGATGGCGCTTCTCTGTTGCCTCTCGTGGAGCTCAAGGAGTTTCGATTGCTCAGTGCTGGAGCAAGCGGCTCGCAATTAGAAGGGCGCGAGAATTAAAATCCTGGTTGGGGGTTGACTCAGCCCATCATTCCGACCGCTAAAAAATAGATGCTATTTTGTGGGCAAGTCCAGTGGTTGTCCTATGGATAGAATTACTCCTGCCATAGGAATATGGAATTTCCACCACTGGCTCAGGGCTGTAAACGGTAGGTGAGCACCGCCTCAATTCTCACCGAGCAGTAGGATCTCACTGTGACTTTCTAACTGCATGCACGTGAACTTACGGCTGAGAGGTGGGAATGGAGCCCGACAGCCCAAGCCTGGCCCGCAGGCCTGTGCAGAGGTACGAGAGGGCGGAGGAGGCGGATGGCTGCTCGCCGCACGCATCGCTAAAGAAAGGCAGCACGTCGCTGGGCGCGCAGGGCCCGTGGGCTTCCTCGCTGCTCCTCCCCTGAGCCAGGAGGTCCGCCAGCTGTGCCTGTACCACACAACGCAAGACACAAACACGTAAAAAAAATCACTCGCAAATTACTCCACGTACGCACTCCCAATCGAGCAAAACCTGCGGTGTAATTGTTTTAATCTTTGGGCCACAACATCGGTGCGCATGGCCTACTCGTTTACAATGATGCCAGGGGATATTTAATGACCACAGTGAAGCAGATGGTGCGTATTTATGGTGAATACACACCAAAGTAATAACCAGGGCGGCTTGCCAGATTCAAGAAGCATCCCATGGTGATGGCTGCTGCTGCTGCTGCCCGCACCCGAGACTCAACTGCAGTGCGCTCACCACGCGCACGGCTCGCGGAGCACGCCGGCTCCTCTCACCATGAGCACGGTCTTGCCGCTGGCGCTGGCTCCCCGCACGAGCACCGCGCCGCCGGCCTCGGTGGCGCGCAGCCCCGCCGCGGCCTCCTGCAGCGGGCCCCTGCGGGCGCTCGCCCGGCTGGCCTGCATCGCCACGAACGCGGCCTGCCGCTCGTGCTCTGAGACGGCGCCGCCCTCTCCGTCGTCGTCGCCGCGGCCCTGCACGCGCACCGCAGCCTCCCGTCAAGCCCCGCGCGTGGTCGCACGCGCTCTCGATGGGCTGGGCGCGGATCAAGCCCATCGAGAGCGCCCTGCGCGGCAGTGCGGCGCGCGGCCACGCGGCAGAGCTCTCGATTGGCTGCCTGCGGGGCAAGCCGAGCCATTATAAGGAGGAGTCGGGGGCTTTGCTGAGATGTTTCAAGTTTGCTGAACCGGGCGAGAGCTCGCGACACCAGGGATGAGTGACCTGCGTGCTCGCGGACTGGGCGTTGTACGTGCATGCCGTCTTCTAGCTTCATGAAAATAAATAATATACCCGGACGTATTTTTTTTTTTACTCTGACAAAACAAAACACAGCAGTTTGAAAAACCAACGGACCCTCTCTGCCGCCTCCTTGCTGATGGCGGTCCACAGGTCGTGCAGCACGGCCTTCCCAAACTCCTCAAGGCCCGCCACGCCTGGCATGCCGCCCGCCACGCCGCCCCACACACACGGGTACCTGGAGGGAGCACGCGCGCACATCGCGTTCACCAATCATGCAAACTCACGTGACGATGGAACTGAAGGACTTCCCTTAAGTCCTTAAGTTCAGCATGTCAGAACATGCTCCCTGGACAGAAGCTCCCTTTCACTCTGCTGTCCGGATATGGAACTGCGTCCCGTAACACATTGTCGGCAAAATGACTGATTCTGGGGTCTTACAGGCCTTCAAATGCCGAGCACATGGACATCTTCTAACTTCACCACATGCCTTGAAGGAGTGAGTCTTTGAGCTGCAGTGAACCAATGAGTATGCCGATTAGATGTACTTATGTGTGATATGGCTATTGTTCACAATTGCACCCAAAAAAAAACTTTGTAGGTTTTCGCAGCCAATATTAAGGTAGATTTTTGGGTTAGGTCCACGTAAAAATCTGGCCACATTTATGTCCTAACACCCTCCACCGCCTAACGTAGCCCATTATGTTTGGCAGTGTCGGGTGGCGGAGGCTCTTATGACAGACATTTGGGTGCCTACATTTTCCAGAGACACGAGTAACCCCCAGCGATCCGAATGAACCCCGATTGCTCCCTGCAGCGGTGCTGTGAAATAAATTTACTAAAAATGTGTTCACTGATGGCCGTGATTCACCCATAAGTGCAGTCTCCTCGCACCCATGCTCGACAGCTGCCTCTCTTTGATCGCAGAAAGCCCTAACTCGCCGGCTATGTGGTGGTGTGGAACCACCCGGTACCCACCGCTCCATGACGGGCAGGCCGCTCTCCATGATGCGCCGCTTCAGGTCCTCTTGGCGTGCCATGGCCTCGTCGGACTCGGCCGCGAAATCTGCAACCCACTCCGTGGGGACGGAGCTGCGGGTGTCCGCCAGTGAACGCGCGCGTGGACACGCGTGTCCACATTCAGATACACATTAAGACATGCACAGACACGCGAGGACACGTGCAGACAGACACATGCACAGACACATGTACAGACAAGCGAGGACACGTGCAGACAGACACATGCACACAGACATATGCAGACACAGACACGCGAGGACACGGACACATGCAGACACAGACACATGCACAGACACATGCACAGACACAAGACACATGCGCAGACATGCACAGACACCCGAGGACACAGACACGCGAGGACACGCTCGTGCGCTCGTACACATGTACATATTGACAAAGACAAAGACATATGCATGTTCGCACACACCCACATTCACACATATAACTGAATTGCAAAAAACAAACTGTAATCATTTGTAAAAAAATGCTAAACTAACATACACTCCACTTTTTCAAATAACTATGCCGAGCGCCATCGTACAAATATGCACAAAGCACACGTCATACCAACTGTAGGAGCGGGATTTCAGTTCTCAGCAGCAAAGTAGGAAAATAAAGAATTCACTAAAACCAGGGGTGGGAATGGAGCGGAACGAGCCAGAGCAGAGCGGAACGCCGTAGCGGCGGTGGTGGTGGTGGGAGTGAGAATTTGAAACCGGACTTCGTCGTTCCGGAAGGAACCAGCGACAAATGTGGTAGCGGTGAGTACTCAGTATGAATCTCTCGATGTAATTCGCTGGTGCCCGTCCGTCACGCTCTGGATCTCCCAAATGGTACATGGAGGAAACCGTACGAATAATTGTGTAAAAGGTCTGCGAATGTACTTTAGAGAGATATAGTTAGCATTGCCTTATTAAAATAAACTAAATGAACATGCTGGATCAGGCAAAAACATTTGTCATCGATTCGTCAATGCTCGTGACTGCCTCACCCCACGCACTCAGGCGCAGTTGGTACGGCCCGCCTCGCGATGCCTTCCCATCTCCCAGCCCCGCACAGAATTCCTCCTCCGTGATGTGACGGACGCGACACTCAGGACAGGATCGCAGTGATGTTCAAGAGTCGCGATGCCATCCGTATAACGGCGGGCAAGGGGCAATGGAGGTGCGTGGCGCACGCGCCAACGCGCCTCCTCTGGCAGTGGGGACGTCGTACCTGATGAAGGAGCTGTCGCGGAAGTAGAAGAACGCTCTGCCGGGGTCGTGCAAGGTACACTGGGAAATCTCGAGCTCGGTCACCGAGCGCCCGCGCGGGTACATCGTCACCTGCTCACACCCACGCACGCACACCCACGCACGCACACGCACGCACACCCACGCACGCACACCCACGCACACACACCCACGCACGCACACCCACGCATGCACACCCACGCACGCACACCCACGCACGCACACGCACGCGCCGATGAACAAAGACAAAGTTCCCCCGTGGAGGCTTTAACGCACTGTTGGGGCAAGTGCTGTTAGCGAGCACCTATGAAGGCCGGCACAGGACACACGAAGGGGTGGGTGGCCAAAACCACACCCGGCCGCCATTGTCTCCCCACTGACAATGTTTACACACTGCATCAGGTACTAATTTGAGGCTGAGTCGACCTTGAGGATGACCAGGACCGGTTAAGATAATCGTTACTGGTGTTGGCCATGAGCAGGAATCGAACTCGGGTCGCCGGGTTCACAGTGGACCGTGTTAACCGCTACACTACCGCACACCCACACACACACCCACGCACCCACCCACACACGCACGCATGCACACACCCCCACACCCATCCATGCACACACCCAGGCAGCGTGTGAGTGATTCACACACAGTGAGAGAGCGATCTACAGGCAGCGTGTGAGTGATTCACACGCAGTGAGAGAGCGGACTACAGGCAGCGTGTGAGTGATTCACACGCAGTGAGAGAGTGGTCTACAGGCAGCGTGTGAGTGATTCACACGCAGTGAGAGAGCGGTCTACAGGCAGCATGTGAGTGATTCACACGCAATGAGAGAGCGGTCTACAGGCAGCGTGTGAGTGATTCACACGCAGTGAGAGAGCGATCTACAGGCAGCGTGTGAGTGATTCACACGCAGTGAGAGAGCGGTCAACAGGCAGCGTGTGAGTGATCCACACGCAGTGAGAGAGCGGTCTACAGGCAGCGTGTGAGTGATCCACACATAGTGAGAGAGCGATCTACAGGCAGCGTGTGAGTGATTCACACACAGTGAGAGAGCGGTCTACAGGCAGCGTGTGAGTGATTCACACGCAGTGAGAGAGCGGTCTACAGGCAGCGTGTGAGTGATTCACACGCAGTGAGAGAGCGGTCTACAGGCAGCGTGTGAGTGATTCACACGCAGTGAGAGAGCGGTCTACAGGCAGCGTGTGAGTGATTCACACGCAGTGAGAGAGCGGTCTACAGGCAGCGTGTGAGTGATTCACACACAGTGAGAGAGCGGTCTACAGGCAGCGTGTGAGTGATTCCCACGCAGTGAGAGAGCGGTCAACAGGCAGCGTGTGAGTGATTCCCACGCAGTGAGAGAGCGGTCAACAGGCAGCGTGTGAGTGATTCCCACGCAGTGAGAGGGCGGTCTACAGGCCGCGTGTGAGTGATTCACACGCAGTGAGAGGGCGGTCTACAGGCAGCGTGTGAGTGATTCCCACGCAGTGAGAGAGCGGTCTACAGGCAGCGTGTGAGTGATTCACACGCATTGAGAGAGCGGTCTACAGGCCGCGTGTGAGTGATTCACACGCAGTGAGAGAGCGGTCTACAGGCAGCGTGTGAGTGATTCACACGCAGTGAGAGAGCGATCTACAGGCAGCGTGTGAGCGATTCACACGCAGTGAGAGAGCGGTCTACAGGCCGCGTGTGAGTGATTCCCACGCAGTAAGAGAGCGGTCTACAGGCAGCGTGTGAGTGATTCACACGCAGTGAGACAGCGGTCTACAGGCCGCGTGTGAGTGATTCACACGCAGTGAGAGAGCGGTCTACAGGCAGCGTGTGAGTGATTCACACGCAGTGAAAGAGCGGTCTACAGGCAGCGTGTGAGTGATTCACACGCAGTGAGAGAGCGGTCTACAGGCAGCGTGTGAGTGATTCACACGCAGTGAGAGGGCGGTCAACAGGCAGCGTGTGAGTGATCCACACGCAGTAAGAGAGCGGTCTACAGGCCGCGTGTGAGTGATGCACACACAGTGAGAGAGCGGTCTACAGGCAGCGTGTGAGTGATTCCCACGCAGTAAGAGAGCGGTCTACAGGCCGCGTGTGAGTGATGCACACGCAGTGAGAGAGCGGTCTACAGGCAGCGCGTGAGTGATTCACACGCAGTGAGAGAGCGGTCTACAGGCAGCGTGTGAGTGATTCACACGCAGTGAGAGAGCAGTCTACAGGCAGCGCGTGAGTGATTCACACGCAGTGAGAGAGCGGTCTACAGGCAGCGTGTGAGTGATTCACACGCAGTGAGAGAGTGGTCTACAGGCCGCGTGTGAGTGATCCACACGCAGTGAGAGAGCGGTCTACAGGCAGCGTGTGAGTGATTCACACGCAGTGAGAGAGTGGTCTACAGGCAGCGTGTGAGTGATCCACACGCAGTGAGAGAGTGGTCTACAGGCAGCGTGTGAGTGATTCACACGCAGTGAGAGAGTGGTCTACAGGCAGCGTGTGAGTGATTCTCACGCAGTAAGAGAGCGGTCTACAGGCAGCGTGTGAGTGATTCCCACGCAGTAAGAGAGCGGTCTACAGGCAGCGTGTGAGTGATTCCCACGCAGTAAGAGAGCGGTCTACAGGCCGCGTGTGAGTGATTCACACACAGTGAGAGAGCGGTCTACAGGCAGCGTGAGTGATTCCCACGCAGTAAGAGAGCGGTCTACAGGCAGCGTGTGATCTGCTGGCTCACCCATTGGAAGTGCGGCTCATCAGGGACGAGATATTCCTGCAGCACGGTGCCGTAGCGCTGCCCCAGGAGCCCCAAAAAGTAGTCGCAGCGATGTACCTCCGCCAGGCACAGCTCGAGCTGCCTGCTCACAGTGACAGAGAGAGAGAGAGACAAAGAGACACAAAGAAACAGAGAGAGACAGAGAGATATAGAGGGACAGAGAGAGAGAGACAGAGAGACACAAAGAGACAGAGAGACAGAGAGAGAGATATAGAGGAACAGAGAGAGAGAGACAGAGAGACACAAAGAGACAGAGAGAGAGAGACAGAAAGACAGAGAGAGATATGTATAGAGAGAGAGACAAAGAGACACAAAGAGACAGAGAGAGAGACAGAAAGACAGATATATATAGAGAGAGAGACAGAGAGACACAAAGAGACAGAGAGAGAGACAGAGAGATATAGAGGGACAGAGAGAGAGACAGAGAGACAAAAAGAGACAAAGAGAGAGAGAGAGGGACAGAGAGAGAGAGAGAGAGAGGGACAGAGAGAGAGAGACAGAGAGAGACACAAAGAGACAGAGAGAGAGACAGAAAGACAGAGAGATACAGATAGACACATAGAGACAGAGAGAGAGACAGAAAGATATAGAGGGACAGAGAGAGAGACAGAGAGACACAAAGAGACAGAGAGAGAGACAGAGAGAGAGATATAGAAGGACAGAGAGAGAGAGACAGAGAGAGACAAAGAGACAGAGAGATATAGAGGGACAGAGAGAGAGAGAGACAGAGAGAGACACAAAGAGACAGAGAGACCGGTGTGACAAAGGGAACGTTTCACTTCATTCCACAGCGACCGCCTCCCAGAAAACACGTGCTCTGAATTAAACGACAAAACGCTCGAATACAAACACCCCACACACACGCACACTGCGAAGAATACTCAAAAGTGGTACAGTAATTATACCACAATCATAGTGATAATAATTATATTTGCATGTATGTGGCGCGTGCTTAAATGCCTCAGCAACTCTTGGCGCCTTACACACCAACATCTCAATCATTCCCAGGGTAGTAGTATAGAGGGACAGAGGGAGAAAAACAGAGAGAGACAATGGAGTAATTTTGTGGTGTAATTTTTCAACATTTGCCAATTTTTGAACCATTACGCCAGTGCACAAAATCTGTAACGTCCACCGTGAAACAAGCGGCGGAGTGCTTTATGGTTAGAGCGTTCACAGTATTAACCTGGGCGGTCTGCCGGATTTGAACCACGAACCTCCGCAACGAGCAGGGAACGCACGGACGCTGGACCACGCGCGGGCATGGCCCAGCTTTCCTAACAACAGCAATCTCTAGAGAGGAGACGGGGCGAGAGTGGGGGGTCTGGAGTGACGAACGCAGCAGGTGACCGGACAGACTCAGCTGATGAGACAAATGGAAGAAGGGGTAGATATTCTGAACGGTGACGGCTACGCGCGGGAATTTTTGGAGGAGGTGGCGAACTCGGGACGCATCCAGGAGGGTCTCGAGATGACGACGAAGAGGATTGTGGGTGGGAGAGTAGACAGGAAGTGGGGAAGTGAAAAGGAAATGGATTGGCTGGTGTGACAGTGAGACGGTTAGCGGTACAGTGTGAGCCAGCCCGGCCGCGACCTCCCCATGGTAGACGTTGACAACGGCGAACGACAGAGAGGGTCCTGTCGCGGGCATCAACCCCAATCCCCGACGCTTGGGAAGTTTCCGCCTCCGGCGCCGGACGGCGAGAATCGCGCGGTGCCGGCGCCGTTGGTGGCGGCTCACCGGTTGTGCCGCGACTCCTCCTCCGTGACCCCCCAGCGCAGATCGACTTCCACGAGGTGCAGCAGCAGCGCGGCGGCTCGCGCCCGCAGCTTGGGCAGCACAACGCGGCACAGCAGGTCGCGCTCGCCGTGCATGTCGCGGAACGTGGACGAGATGAAGACGCGCACGGTGCGCCACCTGCCCGCACGCGCAGACGCAAAGGCAGAGATCGCAAAGTTGTAGCTTTAACAGACAATCGGGGCGCGGCGATGTTAGCGGGCACCTACGAAGGCCGAGATGGCAAACGAGGGGGTGGGTGGCCAGCACCAGGCCCCGCCACCTTCGTCTCACCAGCAGCGATGTCTAAACATCGCACCAGGTACCGCTTTGAGGCCGAGTCGACCCAGGAGATGTCCGGGACCGGCTCAGACAATTCGTCACTGGTGTTGGTGATTGTGTGCAGGAATCGAACTCGGGTCGCCGGGTTCGAAGCGCAGCGCGCTAACCGCAGCGCCACCGCTCCCCACCGTACACGCACACACACGCGTCGATCAATCTAAATGCGCCACACACGGCACAGTAGGTACACATTGTTTATTTACGTATGTAGAGTTTCATGTTTTTTCAAGCGATTATGTGCATCGTTTCACGTAAAAAAAACGAAAATAAAGCCTACAGAAAATACAAAGGTGTGGTGGGAAATCCCCCGTACCTGGGGAGCCCGAGAGCGACACCCCCTGGGGGCATCAGAGTCTCGCGAGGTTAGTGGGAACTGAGATCGCTGTGGCCACGTGTGGGTAGATACCCGCGCGACCTTCGCCCCCTCGGGGTTGCCGGGAGCGTTTGACTCGCGCCGCGCCGGCACGCGGATGAAGCTCGCCGTCCCGGAGACCTGGGAGACGCAGGTGTCTCTGCGGGGAAACCGAGCGGAGGTCTGGGAGGAACTCATCCGCGGGAGCTTGCCACGAAGCCACTTTGCACTTCGCAACTCAGTCGGTCGACTTCGCTCGCCTCCGTCAATCACCGGGAGCGCGCTCCGTTCCCTCGCGGTGGGCGATGGGCGATATCGAGACTAGGCCCCTGCAGGACAGGTGGCAACTGCAAATTCCTAGAAACGTAGAGGAAAGGAGAAGACCGCGACACTTGCCTGACCGCGGGAGGCAGCGGCACGGGGGCCTCCGCTGGGATGACGGCGCTCTCCCCGGCATCGGCGTCGGGCGGGGCCGGCACGCCGTAGAGGGCGTCCACGTGCTCCACGTGCCGCAGCATGCGCTCCCCACCGCGCTCCGACAAGAACCTGCACAGCGCGAGCGGACACCGCCGCCGTGATACTCGCGACGCGAGGATTGCGCGACGCGGCGGAGCATGGAGGGCTCCGGCGAGCACGACGCGCCGTCGCCGCCTACGCGGCCTGACAGTGACGGTTCGTGGTGGAGGGCGGATCGAGAAACTTCCCAAGTTGGGGGGAGGTGGTCCTGAAACGTCGGGGTTTTTTTTAACAGGGCCCGAAGTTATTAAAAAAAAAAATTGCAATTATCAATAAAATACAAGTTTTCCTGTCACAAGGGTAAACCGTCATCCCTGGAAAGAAGTTAAACATTATCATACAGGCAGGGCATAGTATGTATGTATGTTTGTTTAACTAGTTTCGTGCCGTACATAGCCACCCGTGCTAATCCAAGGAAAACGTAAAACATAACCATTACAATTAGTTCATTATAATCTGCACCGGTCTCACAGTAGAGGTTTGGAACCCACCTGAGGATCTGCTCGCTGTAGCCCGAGGCAAACACGTCGCTCTCGTGGTACCCCTCTGCAGGGTCGCCAACCCTACAGCAGCAAGAAACATCCACGCAGCACGCACTTAATAATACACAGCCTTCGGCTCCTACAAAATGTGAGAACGAAATACCGCAAATACATTTCCTTTCAACTGAGTAATCAATGAAAATATCGCGATTCGTGCAGATACCACCACATCGTTGCTTATTTTAATGCGGACTGCGAATGCTCGGGAGAGTGAGAAGCATAGCAAATCAGAGAGGCTTGGCGGGCGAGCGAGAGGGAGGGAGAGGGCAGGGAGAGTAGCAGAGCAGGAGAATCAGACCGCATGGCACACAGGGCAGCAGCAAGTAGCGCTCCCTGAGCCCAACTTTCATTTCCCCGAATTCGCAAACCGCTGAGAATCAGGGGCCGTTCGGGCGGGTGCCGCGTTGGACTGTTCAGCGCGTGACTTCTCGGGGAGCATCACCGCAGTAGGGGCCGTGCCCAGCACGGACGATCACGAGGCTGACCCCCTAACCCTCGACCCCCGGGAGGCCTGCGACGCACCCCCGTGCTCGTGGCCGCCAGGTTTGCAGTGCAGGAAGAGGAGGCCTGGGTTGACCGAGTGGCGGTAACGCACGGAGGAAGCGTCGCACGCTCGGTGGGAGCTTCACGCGCCAGTCCAGCACCACCAGCGCGGTCACCTGGCAGCCGCACGCAACACCAGGAAACCGCGTCGCACCGCCGGTGTGCTTGTTCACAACCAGACAGCCACGCAGGGGGCCTGCTACGTTGGGACGTTTGTATCCGGCACCAACGACATTGCGTGCGCTTGGGGGACGCTGAAAAGTTATCACTTTGGAAGGAGAAAATTATTCGTAAAGACTCGGTTTCATTCCGGAAGGCAAACAGGCTCCAGGATAACAACTGCGTTTGCAGGCCTCGTGCCACGAGGTGGCACGCACCCCCCACCATGAACCGTAACCTAAGGAGAGGGGGAGAAGAAGTCACGTGACTTGAAGAGTCACAATCGACCGTCGGTGTGTTTGGAGCGAACTGTGGAGGGTCTCGCGGAGGTCGCCGCGTGGGGGACGACGATCCGTCGGCAGCGCCACCAATACCTGCTTCTTCTGCAGGAGCAGGGTGGACAGCAGCTCCTCAGGTAAGCCCGTGTCATCCTCATCGTCGCTGTCCACCCCAGCCTCGCTGTCGTCGCTGTCCTCCTCTTCCTCCTCCCGCCTCTGCTCCTCCTGCACGAGCGGTGTTCATGAGAAGTGGCTCTGGAGGATTCTCCATTGCATTTTACCTTCCACGATCCACACACTCCACGCGCCACACCGATAACCATCACTTTACATTTTCTGTTCGACTTGTAAAGTACTGGCATTATTGCACACTCGATCGTCAACATCAGTTAGAGACGAAAGCTGTCAAAGCCCCCCTCGAACGACCCTGTCGCAGTGACTTGTCAAACCACAAGCATCGCGTTTCGCAGCCGCGCGTCCGTCACCTCCCGCAGCAGCTGCTCCAGATTCTCGAGCACGGTTCCGTCCGCGAGCTGCACGTGCCGAGCGGAGCCCCGGCCCCACAGCACCAGCTCCGCGTGCTCGCTCGCAAACTTCACCATGAGCCCCAGCAGCAGGGCCACCTCCAGCACCTGCGGTGTCACAGCGCGGGCGCCATCACAAAACCACGCTCGGGGCCACGGCGTCGGCGCAGGCGCAGGAGCGGCACACTTGGTGGTGAGCAATTTGTGCGAGAATCCGTTGGGCTTCACGGGCGGGCGCACCCCGAGGCTTCATAGGGAAACGGCCGACTTGCCGAGTCCTCGTAGCGATGTGACGACGTCGATACTCACGGTTGATTTTTTTTTAAGAGGTGCGACGCAAACCATTTGAGCACATCATAACACCTTTTTTTTATTTTAATTTAAAGCTTTCGTTGACTGCAGGGATCATATTCTTGGTTCTTTCGGTAAAGTCATTTTTATATTTTATTGTTCCCTTCAAACGTGATTTACCGAAAGAACAAAGAATAATCATAACATCGTTCAGGATGTCACACCCACCCCCCCCCCCCCCCCCCCCCCCCCCACCCCCGTGATTGGTTGCACGAAAAAGCTTAAGTGATATATATATATACGATGAAAATATACGACGGGGAAATCTCACGAGGCCCAGACGAGATGTTCCGCTTGGCGCTATCACCTGTGGTGGCATCACCTTATAGCTGCCAGTTGATGTCACAAAAGCTTGGCCGGGACGAATCACTTTTACGAACCAAATTCATGGTAAAAGAATGTTAGAGGCCGTGCTGGGTGGGGCATATGTATGCGATAGTGGAGGCCCCGTTGCCGAGACAGGCATTGGCGTGGTCTCCATGAGTCCGGTGACCAAGGGGAAGAGACCGAGGGCCAGACGGTGTGAGACCGTCGGGGCAGATCTAGGAGGTGGTGCATCTAGGATGCAGCAGCAGCAGCTGTGGCCTTGATGTTGCTGTCGAAGCGGTGGCGGGCCGCACGTACCGTGCGCGACTTCCCCAAGCCGCGGCCTGTGCTGCAGGGCTTGTTCATGGCCGCCGAGGTGTTGCACAGCACGAGCGTTCGGCCCGGCAGCGGGGCGACGTTGTGCGACGTGGAGATCCTCACGGCGTGGTCCAGCGCTTCCTTGTACCGGCCCAGCAGCTCCGCATCACACCCGGCAGCCATTCTGTTCACAATGGTTCGCACAGCAACACACACAGAATGCACAACGATACACACAGCAACACACACCCAACACGTAATGATACACACAGCAACACACACAGCAACACACGATACACACAGAATACACAACGATACGCACAGCAACACACACAGAATACACAACGATACACACAGCAACACACACCCAACACATGATACACACAGCAACACACACAACAACACAAAACGATACACAGAATACACAACGATACACACAGCAACACACACAGAATACACAACGATACACACAGCAACACACACCCAACACATATTGATACACACAGCAACACAAAACGATACACACAGAATACACAACGATACACACAGCAACACACACAGAATACACAACGATACACACAGCAACACACACCCAACACATATTGATACACACAGCAACACACACAGCAACACAAAACGATACACACAGAATACACAACGATACACACAGAATACACAATGATACACACAGCAACACACACAGAATACACAACGATACACACAGCAACACACACCCAACACGTAATGATACACACAGCAACACACACAGCAACACACAACGATACACACAGACTACACAACGATACACACAGCAACACACACAGAATACACAACGATACACACAGCAACACACACCCAACACATATTGATACACGCAGCAACACACACAGCAACACACAACGATACACACAGACTACACAACGATACACACAGCAACACACACAGAATACACAACGATACACACAGCAACACACCCAACACATGATACACACAGCAACACACAACGATACACACAGAATACACAACGATACACACAGCAACACACACAGAATACACAACGATACACACAGCAACACACACAGAATACACAACGATATACACAGCAACACACACCCAACACATATTGATACACACAGCAACACACACAGAATACACAACGATACACACAGCAACACACACCCAACACATATTGATACACACAGCAACACACGATACACACAGCAACACACACAGCAACACACAACGATACACAGAGCAACGCACACAGAACTCCCGGCAGCCAGTGTGTGCACAACAACACACACCTAACAATCTTCCCAGCGGCTAAGCATCACACTGAGGATCCACGTGCCGTAGCTGTGATCTCACAATAAACGAAGCCTTCTTCTCGAAGCACACCGGTTATGCTTTCAGCCACCGCGGAGTTGAAAGGGGCAAGAATTCCTGAGAGACTCGCTCAGGATTGGGGTTCGTTATTGCAACGGGAGATGGTAGCGCGAGGCCAGCAAGCCACGGTTGGTTGGTGGCGAGGGAGTCTGTACACGGAGGGGGCAACAATGAATGTGGGACGACAGCGATGCTGAACGCGACGCGGAATCGTTACGAGACGTGCCAGCATCGGGGAAATGGCTACTCATCAAAAGGCGGAATACAGTCAAGAGCTGAAGAATGAACCCCAGCCGAGACGGAATCAATGGACTAAGCGCGAGTAACCGTCCACGCGTTTTTTGCACGGATATGTTCACCTGTGCGCTGCAAAAGATGCCTGAAGAAGAGCGGTGGCGTAGCGGTCAACTCTGCGCTACGAACCCGGCCACCCGAGTTTGATTGCCGCTCACAGCCAACACGGATCATCTGAACCGGTCCTGGGCCTTCCCTAGGTCGACTCAGCCTCAAATAAGTACCTGGTACAGTATGCTAACATGGCCACTCGGGAGACAAAGGTGGCTGGATGCGGTGCTGGCCACCCATCCTCTCGTGTGCCGTGCCGGCCTTCATAGGTGCTCGCTAACACCACTTGCTCCCGACAGTCTGTTAAGGCTATACGGTAGATCTTTGTCTTTGATAAAGATGGAGCGACCTGTCTTCAGTTCCCAGGTCGCCCCTTGCAAAAGAGGCAACGTCGCGTGACGAATCTCAACACGCTCGTGTGCGTTTCATTTCCTGACTCACGGCTCCGGCCACAACGACGAGTCGCCGCGCACGTGTGCGCGCTCACAGCCGCACGCACCGTCGGCGGGCACGTGACTGTGCGTACGTCCAATGCTGGCTGCGAGACAACCAAAGGCCATGTTCGTGTTCCAGCAGCAGCGCGCACGAGACATCGGCGCTTTCCTCCATCGGGTGCACGCGCCGTGCCTACCTTTTTTTGAGGAGGCGTTTTCGTGCCCTCTTACAAACGGCGTACAGATCCGCGTCGAACTTTCCTCTCGCGGGCGAGGCCGAGGCTGGGTTCCTTCGAGACTTGATCCTTAACTTCTTCAGAATGGCGTTCTTCATCATCACGCGCAAGCTTGGCACGTCCTCCTCTGGCGAAACGAAAGCCACGGTGTGCGCGCAGTCACGGTCAGACGCGTTCAACCTGAACCTCACAGAGCCTCAAACTGAAAAGGCTTCACTGTCTCACGATTCATTCAGCAAAGAAACGTGGCTATTGCAATCATTGCAATGGCCTTATTAGCATCACATATGTTTACACCAGACACACTTATAGCATTGTATCACTATTTCTACTCAAGTTTACAATTGCAGTGCCAAGACAGCCCCCACGTGATGGTGATGTTTACCTGCAGTAATATTTTGATGGTGAAACAACACTAGATTAATTATAATTCTCTTTAGAATCTGATGCTCCATCTCTGCGTTTGGTTGGGTGTTGTCGCTGTAACTCTCAGCTGGCTGCTGCCCTCCGGAGCTCCCCCTGGGTGTGGAAGCCACATCACAAATAACAACCACAGCACCAGCACCAGCAGCACCAGCAGCACCGGTACCAGCAGCAGCACCAGCACCACCAGCAGCACTAGCAGTACCAGCAGCAGCAGTACCAGCAGCAGCACCAGCAGCAGCACCAGCACCACCAGCAACACCAGAAGCAGCACCAGCAGCAGTACTAGCAGCACCAGCAGCAGCACCAGTAGCACCAGCAGCAGCACCAGCAGCACCAGCAGCACCAGCACCAGCAGCACCAGCACCAGCAGCAGCACCAGCAGCAGCACCAGCAGCAGCACCAGCAGCACCAGCAGCAGCCCAGCAGCACAGCAGCAGCACCAACAGCACCACCAGCAGCACCAGCAGCACCAGCAGCACCAGCAGCAGCACCAGCAGCAGCCCTCGCGACTGGGTGACGAGCGGGATGCGGAGCCTCGGGAGTGGAACTCTGCTCAAACAACAACAACGGTCTACCTCCAACCTCAGTCTTGTTGTCCTTCCCCCTGCACCTCCGATGAGCATGGTTGGCTACATAGAGTGTGAAAGAAGTTCAACGTACATACGTACAAACCTCCTTTTTGTATCCGGGCCTCCAACTCGGAGAGGACCTCGTAGGCGGAGAAAAACCGAAAGGGGAACTGTTTGCTGCGCACCACTGAATCCTGCAGATACAGACACACACATACAAAGACAAAGATCCCCCGCATAGCCTGAACAGATTTTTGGGGCAAGTGCTGTAGCGAGCACCTATGAAGGCCGGCACAGTACACGAGGTGGGTGGCCAGCACCACACGTTGTGGCAATATTTGCACACTGCACCAGGTACTCATTTGAGGCTGAGTCCACCTAGTGGAGGCCCAGGACCGGTTCAGATATTCATCACCGCTTTTAGCCAGGAGTGGAAATCAAATTCGGGTTGGTGGGTTCGTGGCGCAGCGCGCTACACACACACACACACACCCACATCCAATTTCTTGAAGTCCTCTTGTGGCCAGCAGACCTTGACATTTAGCTCCTGAAACAGATCTCCATACGCAAGAAGAGAATTTCTTTCGACATTTCCAAAATTGCACAAGCCGTTCTGTACTCGGGGGCCCTGACCGGGGAGCCGGGGAGCGCCACCGACGCACCCCGAGACAACTCCGCTACCTTGCTCGTGAGTGTGCGCAGGACGACGGCGTGGTGTGCGGGGCTTATCCCGGCACAGATGAGGTTGCTCAGATTCCGCAGCATGGCCATGAAGGGCAGCTTCTTGTGATCTACGGACACAGGGCGCGGTGAGCACCGGGTCAGTTGTGGGAAGCCGGCAGGGGCCCGCGGGTTTGGCGCGGCTGCCTCCGTGCTCGGGCGCCGACGGCTCCGCTGCCTGAGCACCGTGACCCAGCAGCACCATGGAGGCGGCCAGGGCAGGTGGATCGAACTCCCTCCCTACCCGTGAGCGTGGAGGTCGCCATCGCCTGGCTTGACAGGGCACGGTAGTACGGCAAGAGGAATCATCTCAATTTGTTTCCGTGTGTTAAAGGGATTGAGAGTTACCCCACTTGCACGAAAATATCTGAATCAGTCCTGGGCCTCCCCTTTAAATTAGTACCGGGTGCAGTGTGTAAACATCAGCATTGTGGAGACTAAAGCGGCCGGGCATGGTGCTAGCCATCCTCGCTCACGTGCCCTAGTGCGCCGTGTTTGTGTGCTAACAGCACTCACCCCAACAGTCTGATAATGGCTACAGGAGGATCTTTGTCTGTGGGTGTATTTGTGAATGCGTTTACTACGTCGTTGCTCGTTTTTTATGTACGTATCAATTGCCACCGTGATTCAAACGCGATGTCTCGTCACAGGGCATTTTACACGTTAAAGATTATTTTGGGGGTAAAAAAAACCCCCCAGAAGTACAAAGTGGCTTCATAGCAAGCGCGCGTATCCCGGCGTGCAGCTCCCACCGATGAGTTCCTCCCAGACCTCCGCTCGGTTTCCCCGCAGAGACACCTGCGTCTCCCAGGTCTCCGGGACGGCGAGCTTCATCCGAGTGCCGGCGCGGCGCGAGTCAAACGCTCCCGGCAACCCCGAGCGGGCGAACGTCGCCAGGTCGCCCGGGTATCTGCCCACACGTGGCCGCGCGCGCTCTCAGTTCCCACGAACATCGCGAGACTCCGATGCCCCCAGGGGTGCGTCAGAGCAACGGAACGTAACAGTCCAATAACACGACGTTTATGAAATGTATTTCAACAGTTCTCACGGTCTCTTGGCATTGTGCCAATGCGGTGATGGACTCTGTGGAGGTGGTGAGGTTCGGCCTACGAGTCTGTGCTCTCTAAGGAAACCGCGAGGTATTCACAAAGCGTCGCACTCCTGTGTAGGCCAGCAGAAAGGCGCTATCTGGAGTGACAAATACACAGTGTTTTTTTATGTAATACCAGTTGTTTAATGGTTGAATTGCAAGAAAAAATACTGACTAAGGCAATGGCATGAAAAGCAAGGAATGCCCTGATAGACAACTCTCTCACTTTCGTGACTGCATGGATTCATATTCTTGGTTCTTTCGGTAAAGTCACGTAGAAGGGAAACAATAAAATAATAAAAATATAAAACAATAAAATTCTCACGACGTTTCGACTGCAACACAAGCAATCATCATCACACCTGATGATCATCATCACACCTGATGATGATTGCTTGTGTTGCAGTCGAAACGTCGTGAGAATTTTATTGTTTTATATTTTTATTATTTCATTGTTTCCCTTCTACGTGACTTTACCGAAAGAACCAAGAATATAACTCTCTCACTGTGTCTGAACCGCAGCAAGAGAAGTGAACTGGCCCTAACCCGTAGCTCTGATCAGCGTGGTTTGCTACGTACAGTGCAAAAGAAGTTCAACACACATTCACACAACCCACCTCTTTCCCAGCAGGCTCATGACGGAATGCACCGGCTTGGAGATGTGCAGGTTACGAATCATGTATTTCAACGAATACTTGTAGTGCTTCTCCGCCTAAAGCACACATTGCGTCCAGGGAGACACCGAGCACACGCAAAGCGGAGTCAGAGTGCCACACAGAGGCGCCGTCCCCCCGCGACAACCTCGAACCATATTTGCAAACATAAAAGTGATCCACAAAAAGGTTTTTGGGTTCGATCGCGAAATTTATGAACGTGTCGCTAAACCCGCCACCACCCGACACATCCAATGAGTAAGGTTTGTCGCGCAAACAAAACATGGCAATTAATTACTGCTACAGCACACCGGTGTGTTGGAGAGTAAACCCACAACATTTACAATTCGAGTATGACGTTTCGCCAATAATTACAACCAGCATCATCAGGCGACAGCCAGAGTTGTGGAGGGATAAATGTGATGTCGTCACTTGTGAGCCAATCAGATGCAAAGGCTGGGGGGGGGGGGTGGTTAATGTATGCATACAAATTAGCAGTTGGGTTATTGGTCGATGAAAGCCTCTATTATGGATATTGGTCACGAAAGCCTACGTGTTAAACTGAAAGCCTACGTGTTATACTACATAAAAGTGACTTTAAACACGAGGCATATGCAGAAAATCACCCTCCACACGACTCCACAATTCGTCGAAGTCAGAAGGATCAGCATGCGACTCAAGAATCAATCATAATTTTTGTCTCATTCGTTCCGTCCAGCATTGCCCCTCTAGCTCTGGCCTGTGTCCGACCGACCCTTCCTGCCAAAAAACACTCCAACAATTGTCATGCAGCAGCTTATCTCGTCACATCGCCACACGCAACCCTCTACATCCGAACCAATCCGGCTTCCACATCAAACGCCCCAAATACGGCAAACAGACTCTGCACTACGGGACATGAATAACGCCACATCCACTGCAGCAGCAGCATCATCAGCTCCCTGCTAACATACACAGCAATACACAACCAAGCTCCTGTAACTTACATCAGAAACCTCATGCAGATCACTTTGCTCCACAACCTAAACACTCCTCCCGCTGACCACCAACAACCAAACACACAAAAAAAACACGCAGTTGGACAGATCTTTCTCATTTGCAGCACCACAGCCTCTGGAACAAGCTCCCCGAGGTAATTTACGTACACTCGACTCCATCGCTGCATTCACAGTCAAACTCAACAACACAGCTCTCTTGGACTAGCATGCAAAAATACAGCCACAACTTGCTTTTATTTTTATATTATAAACTACAGTAAAACCTTGGATTGCGAGCATAATTCGTTCTGGAAACGTGTTTGTAATCCAAACACTCGTATATCAAAGCACCTGTACATCAGTTGTGATCACGTGACGCTCGGCAGACAAAGCGTATACGTACACTACCCGTATTGCAAGACCTCGCTCGTTTGTCAAATTTATATTTATTTTAAAATGTGCTCGTCTTGCAAAACACTCGCAGACCAAGTTACTCGCAATCCAAGGTTTTACTGTAAAGTTTTTTTTAATCTCTCATTGTAAAGAATGGCCTACGTTTATATCTGAGTATTAATGTGATGATGGCGCTTTGGATGAAAGATGTGCCAAAAAGTCACCACAATAATAACATTTACTTGACTAACAGCCTTGCTTTGTAAACCTCAACATAACATCCAACCTACGTGGCTTTGTAAACAATTGCATCGTGCACGAATGGTGCATGTGCCATGAATGTAAGAACCCATTTTAACTGGAGCTACCATGCGGTAAGGATCCGTGTGAGGACCGCTGATTCCGCTGAAGAGATGCAAATCCACAGCCAGAGAGGGGGGAACCGCTCACCTCTCCCGGTGGAGCCTCCTTGCGCAGGCCCCGCTTCTGTCCTTCCTTGTTGTACTTGGCAAGCTGATGCTCGTTAAATGCGGGGAACTTCTCCACCAGCGCACGGCGCAGGCACGCCGGCAACGACAGGCGCTCCCGCGTGCCCAACAGCGACTGCCGCGCGCGTCACCAGGCAGCGAGAACGCAGAGCCCACGATGCGACAAGGCAGACGGGGGCATCGCACGCACGGCAACCAGAATCGTGCACACGCAAACGCCTTATGGCACGGGTTTGGCGCACAGAAACAAAATCTTCAATCATTAAATGTAGCAAATCTGATGGCGGTGCACGTCACGTTGCGAGCAGGTCACAGAGAGCACCGGCTCAAGGAGAGATAAACTATTCGTAGCCATGCCCACAAACGTGGCTCTCGAGCAGGGGCCAAGGCGAACGGTGCCGTGGGGTTCAGGGGTCATAATGAGAGGCTGTGCCATTTGAGGGCGACTGCAACGTCGTGGTTTTTACCGAGACAGCGGTGATTGCCGAGAGCACTGCAAGGTTACATTATGTAAATGTGGATTATTATTTTGGAAACAGGTGCTCAACACAGGCCCAAAGACCACAACATCAAACGACTAGCAACAAGCAGCACTTGCAAAGTTGTAATAGGAAAGGTTTAACACGTGTCCTGCATTGAGTTAGGTTATGTTTGTAAGAGTTTGGGGGGGAAAGAGACGATGGGAGGGAATTCCGAAGAGGAGAGGTGCGCAGGAAGTAGCAGAGAGAGAAGTGTTGTCACCTGGAGTGTGGTGAGTGAGTGAGAGGGTGAATGAGTTAGAGCATGCATATGTGAGTCAGTGAGTGCGAGCGGGTGGGCTGGGTGCATTGTTGTGATGAACACAGAGACGTGGGTGAGCGGCGTACCTTGTAGGTGGTGGCCACATCCAGCCAATCGGAAGGCAGCACGACCGCCGCGGAGAAGTAACGCACGAGATGGGGGCGGCAGGGAGGCAGCTCCGCCGCCAGGGCCAGCAGGACGTTTGACGTCTTCCTGATGCCCAGCTCTCGGCGGGAATAAAGCGCCACCTGCACCAGCGCACGGACAACCGACAGCGCTCAGCAGTGATGTTGCTGCTCTGCGTAGTAGCGTGCAGAAAACAGATCCGCCGCACGTCGATATATTAAACATTTATATGCAATTTGTGTTATTTAATAGTTAGAAGGCAGTTCGTGAATGTGACATACTTTATAAAATTATAGCTGAAGTGATTTACTGCTCAAACGAGCATTGAGGCATTGGTCATCTCCTGTTTACAGGCCTGGACCAGAGGTGGAAATTCCACATTCCTGTGGTAGGGGCAAGGCCATCCACAGATCAACCCCTGCTGCCTTCCCAACAAAATGGTACTCAACCCGTGACCAGGATTTGAACTCGCACACTTCAGGTTGTGAGCCGCTCGCTCTTCCGCTGAGCGACCTGGCCGGGCGTGGTGCTTGCGAGGTCACGGTGCATCCCACCACTTGTGGTGGATGCGCCGCAGGCACGGCTGAGATCAATAAGCAAGGAGATCGATTCCCGGGTAGGCTCTCAAACACGGCGGATTTGCCCTGAAACAGCGCAACGGGACAGCGCGAGAGAGAGCTTCACGCACCATACCTCACCTTGAGGACAAACTCGGGGTCGGTCTGGGCCAGCTCCTTCATGATAGAAAAGAGCGTCGCACAAGTAGAGCCCTCCGTGAGGTCAGGGGTCAGCCCTCCCACCAGCGACACGCTCACGACGCTCAGCAAGCCCTTCTGCAGAGCACACGCCGAATGCGCGCAACGCGTTAGGAAGGAGCGGGTAACACCACGGCAACCGCCCCGTGGCCCGGACCACCATACGACAACTACAACAATAACGCTTCAGCCAAAATCAGCCCATGGGTCACGTGCGCCGATGTTTTTGAGCAAACGAAAATGCTCATAAATGCATTACCATGGTTATTATTCAACAATTCAGCGTCATAATAATAAGCAGCAGCGATATAACATAGTACTGCACTAGATGACGTTGATGAGGATTATGACATCTTAGATCAAACCTTCTACAACTGAGCACAATAAATGTACTCAAAACAAAAACGTCAGCCCTTGGTAAAATTCAAGTTCAAGGTGCTCCTCCTTAACTTCTCCTCAAGCTGAATCTCTGGCATCATCGTCGTCATCGTCATCGTCGTCATCATCATCATCATCGTCGTCGTCGTCGTTGTTCACAGGCTCTGCTTCCCACACATCTCGCAACTGAGCTCCCACCTCGACTTTCTGACATCTCCAGCACCTGACCCGTTGTCTCCCGCCACTTCTGAACCCCTCGTTCTTGCCCCCAGCATCCCAACTCCATTCCGTGGCCGCCGTATCCACGACCATCTGCTCAGTTGGAGGATTCTGCTCCTCCTTTGCTGCCACCAAGACCAGTTCACATCCAGGCTCAACTTTCCCTCTTTGCCTCTCACCACGACCGACCGACTCTCTTATTTGTTCCATAATTGTAGGGTTAAGCCATGTAATGATCTGGCCAAATCTCTGTTGTGAGACCTTCCTCTACTCAACACAGACAAAACAAATGTTAATCGTCGCTCAGTACAAGGGTTAACGTGCCAATTCTAATCGTTTCAGCTTGCTTGTGAGTTTAAAAACAATTACACAACCAAATTTAACAAACAGATTCGAGACATTTTTCCTTCTTCAGGCAAAGCTTAGAAGTCAGAATGATGTCCAGGAAGTAAAAATAGCCGTATTACCTGACCTCACAGGAATAACCAATCCGATTTAAACTAGATTTTAACCATTACAGTTTAACGTATTAAAATATATTGTCATTTATCTAGCTGGAAAAACCCATGTGTTAATTATTTTATTTGAATAATTCCCATTTCCTCATCACACTACCCACCCGACCCCTGCCCTCATAGTCCCCTTCCTTGTGCAGTGCCCCTCGAGATCGCCTCTCGACTCATTCATTGCAAGGGGAAAGGCTTTGCCTTCTGTGGCAGAGTGATGTCCACAGGTTGAGCAGGTGTCAGAAGTGGCGCCCACTCATCCTCGCCGGGCGACCCTTCCTCCCGCTTGTCCTCCTCGCCCCAACCTTCCAGGGCCAGCGTGAAGCTCTGTTCCATCCACGTGTGGCCCTGAGCATGCGCCACACACACATACATACACACGTGGCATGTGTCATATAATCAAAATCATCACGCTCGTGAAAAAAAACTATCGGGTGAAACGCCCGCAGCCCACTGCACGTGTCAACAACACACACACACGCACGGGGCAACTCCTGCTCACTGCGATCACATTCCTTATATAGTCCACTGAGCAGGTGATGCGCTTTCAGTTTCCTGCTCAGTGGTAAAACTCAACTCCAGCCACTCAATCCACCACTGCATGCAGGCCTCCACACGGCACGTCGGTCATGGGAGGATTTTGACCATACTTCACCATGCTGGTCAGTGTGGATTGGGGGGGGGGGGCAGCAAACGGTTTTGATATCATTTGCCACTGATGTTAGCCGTGACTGGGAATCGAACTTTGCTTGCCAGGTTCCTATAACACAGTGCGCCACCACTCCACAACTTTCAAGACGCCCTCGGTGGCCAGAGAGAGAGGCTGGCAGCGATAGAGCCCTGCCCCACCGGTTGGGTGGCACCAGAGTCTGCCGTGTGGCCCGGTGGCCATGGTGCCCACGGCCTCCAATCACCGTCTCGCATCTGATCAGATCCACATTTGATCCCAAGCCGATCGAATTTGCATTTCGAAGATAGCACGACATTTAAATATCACTCTTTGGGTCTTTCAGTAAAAAAAATATAAACCATTGGACATTCCAAGACGAATGTTTAAAGCAGAGCCAAAGCCTACATCAACTTTGACCTTTTCGAGTCTCAACTTGCAGGGTGGTGTATGCCGCCCAACTGACAAAAGACACTCGGATTCTATGGCGTCATCGGTCAGGAGCCTCCACAAGCATCGCAGTGGTACAAAATAATTATCCCCGCCGATTGGTCCCATCACATCAGGTGTTGCAACCAAAGACAGCGCACACAGAGTCGCTTGCCAGGTTTTACTCTGTGCGCCCTCGCTGCCAGAATGAAACCCCAAAAGGCGCGGGCGTTCCCCACGGCTCCTAGAACGCCTCCGATCGTTTGTCATGGGCGGTGCAGAGTACTGTACGACGTGCTGTAGGGCCATTTGGACGGCCCACGTCCGTGACCGAGACCCGGGCACTGTCACGAGCCCGGGCCCTCCTTGTCACAACCGCTGCTGAGATGACGAGGGGGGCGTCGCGCTCACGGCCCAGGGACGTGCGGTCAGGGGAGGCAGGGGAGGCGGGGGAGGCTGAGCCTCACCTGTCATACTCCAATGAAAATAGCTGTTACGAAAAGTAAAAAAAAAGAATCAATTCAAAGAAAGATTTTTTCCACTGATCTGTGTTATAAAAGTCATTTCTGTTCGATTCCAATCATTTTTATAGTCAAAATCGCCAAATTTGCGGAGCTCCGCTGCAAATACAGGAAGAGACGAGAGGTGAGGCAGCGACGAGCTCAGCCTCCCCTCTGATTGCGCAACCCCTCAGTAACTGGATGCAGCGCGGACAATAAGCGCGTGCCTGTTACTATCTCAGTATGTCACCAATGTAATGTTTGTAGACCCCTTCATTTCACGTCCTTGCCTTCCATACTCCAGGTAACTTATTTCACGTATGTGTATAAAGATATTTAGGCTCGCTGGTCTCGTCATGAAACTGCAATGAAAAAGCACCAGGGGAGGCAGCTATCGCGTCTGCCTCACTGAGGGGGGACGTGTCTAACACGCCCCCCTCAGTGAGGACACGCCCCCTCCGTGAGGCCACGCCCCCCTCAGTGTGTGAATCTGGTTCTGACACTAACCAGTGAGCCTCCCCAGCCATTGACCTCACCGCACGTCACTGTCACGGCCAGGGCGCACGTCGCACTCACGGCTAGGGGTGCGACGTCGTCGGTGTTCTCGCTGGAGCCAACGCCGGCCAGGTCCTGCGCGATGCCCTCTTGAGGAACTTGCCACGGCATTCCAGCTGAGCTGGGCGCCTTCTGCTTTGTCAAACTCAAAGCTCCCGATGGGAACGTTGATGTGGCCATGCCTTTGCTGCTCCCGCTTGTAATTTGATGCCCAGCGTAGCGGAGAAGAATTGTATTATTCCGGTCTTCACCGGAAGTTTCACGAACCATTTTGAGACTCTTCAGGGCCTTGCTATCTTCATATTCCTTCAGTATCTTGTTCTCTATATTGACGGCGGGATAGCGCGTCTGAGGCTGCAGCAGTGCCGACGGCCGGTGGGAACGGGCGGCCGTGTCGGTGGCACAGAGAGACAGGCGCACCGTGGCAGCGGTTGCCTCAACCAGGATGCGGTTGTGTTCTGTTTGAATGGAGCTTTGCCACAGGCTACCATGCTGCTGCTGCTGGCTGTTTGTGCGCCCACTGCCCGGGGCTGTGATGCTGTGGCCGAGTGTGGACAGAAGGCTGCAGCTGTCCAGTGCCATCCTCGAGGCTTGCGCGTTGGCGGCCGCGGTGGTGTGCGAGGCGTCCTTATCCTTGCCCATGGTTCACGGAGGTCACCTGCGGGGCACACAGCAGCAAGACAAGTGAAGAACCACGCTTACGCCCGGGCACTGCACTGCAACATCTCCCAACGGCACAGGAGGGTAGAACAGAAGACAATGTATGGACGTCACCGCTCACATTGCCACCGCTTGCTGTGTCACTGCTGTGCATCACTGCTCACTGTGTCACTGCTGTGAGTCCCTGCTCACTGTGCCACTGCCGTGTGTCACTGCTCACTGTATCGCTGCTCACTGTATCACTGCTCACTGTATCACTGCACTGTATCACTGCTCACTGTGTCACTGCTCACTGTGTCACTGCTCACTGTGTCACTGCCGTGTATCACTGCTCACTGTCACTGCTATGTATCACTGCTCACTGTGTCACTGCTTACTGTATCACTGCTTACTGTATCACTGCTCACTGTGTCACTGCTCACTGTGTCACTGCTCACTGTCACTGCTCACTGTGTCACTGCTCACTGTATCACTGCTCACTGTGTCACTGCTCACTGTGTCACTGCTCACTGTATCACTGCTCACTGTGTCACTGCTCACTGTGTCACTGCTCACTGTGTCACTGCTCACTGTGTTATTGCTCACTGTGTCACTGCTCACTGTGTCACTGCTCACTGTATCACTGCTTACTGTATCACTGCTTACTGTATCACTGCTTACTGTCACTGCTATGTATCACTGCTCACTGTGTCACTGCTTACTGTATCACTGCTTACTGTATCACTGCTTACTGTATCACTGCTCACTGTATCACTGCTCACTGTCACTGCTATGTATCACTGCTCACTGTGTCACTGCTCACTGTGTCACTGCTCACTGTGTCACTGCTCACTGTCACTGCTCACTGTATCACTGCTCACTGTGTCACTGCTCACTGTGTCACTGCTCACTGTGTCACTGCACTGTATCACTGCTCACTGTATCACTGCACTGTATCACTGCACTGTATCACTGCTCACTGTATCGCTGCTCACTGTGTCACTGCTCACTGTGTCACTGCTCACTGTGTCACTGCTCACTGTGTCACTGCTCACTGTATCGCTGCTCACTGTCACTGCTCACTGTATCACTGCTCACTGTGTCACTGCTCACTGTCACTGCTCACTGTATCACTGCCGTGTATCACTGCTCACTGTCACTGCTATGTATCACTACTCACTGTGTCACTGCTCACTGTGTCACTGCTCACTGTATCACTGCTCACTGTATCACTGCCGTGTATCACTGCTCACTGTGTCACTGCTCACTGTGCCACTGCTCACTGTATCACTGCTTACTGTATCACTGCCGTGTATCACTGCTCTCTGTCACTGCTCACTGTATCACTGTGTCACTGTGTTACTGCTCACTGTATCACTGTGTCACTGTATCACTGCTCACTGTATCACCGCTCACTGTGTCACTGCTCACTGTATCACTGTGTCACTGTGTTACTGCTCACTGTATCACTGTGTCACTGTATCACTGTGTCACTGTATCACTGCTCACTGTGTCCCTGCTCACTGTATCACTGCTCACTGTGTCACTGCTCACTGTGTCACTGCTCACTGTATCACCGTTCACTGTGTCACCGCTCACTGTATCACCACTCACTGTATCACCGCTCACTGTGCCACTGCTCACTGTATCACTGCTCACTGTGTCACTGCTCACTGTGTCACTATTCACTGTATCACTGCTCACTGTATCACTGCCCACTGTGTCACTGTTCACTGTATCACTGCCCACTGTGTCACTGCTCACTGTATCACCGCTCACTGTGTCACCGCTCACTGTGTTACTGCTCACTGTCACTGCTCACTGTATCACTGCTCACTGTATCACTGCTCACTGTATCACTGTATCACTGCTCACTGTATCACTGCTCACTGTGCCACTGCTCACTGTATCACTGCTCACTGTGTCACTGCTCACTGTATCACTGCTCACTGTGACACTGTTCACTGCTCACTGTATCACTGCTCACTGTGTCACTGCTCACTGTATCACTGCTCACTGTATCACTGCTCACTGTATCACTGCTCACTGTCACTGCTCACTGTATCACTGCTCACTGTGTCACTGCTCACTGTGACACTGTTCACTGTGACACTGTTCACTGCTCACTGTATCACTGCTCACTGTGTCACTGCTCACTGTCACTGCTCACTGTGTCACTGCTCACTGTATCACTGCTCACTGTATCACTGTTCACTGTGTCACTGCTCACTGTGTCACTGCTCACTGTATCATTGCTCACTGTCACTACTCACTGTATCACTACTCACTGTATCACTGCTCACTATGTCCCTGCTCAGTGTCACTGCTCACTGTATTATTGCTCACTGTATCACTGCTCACTGTGTCACTGCTCACTGTGTCACTGCTCACTGTATTATTGCTCACTGTATCACTGCTCACTGCATCACTGCTCACTGTGTCACCGCTCACTGTGTCACCGCTCACTGTGTTATTGCTCACTGTGTCACTGCTCACTGTATTATTGCTCACTGTGTCACTGCTCACTGTATCACTGCTCACTGTATCACTGTGTCACTGTGTTACTGCTCACTGTATCACTGCTCACTGTGTCTCTGCTCAGTGTCACTGCTCACTGTATTATTGCTCACTGTATCACTGCTCACTGTATCACTGCTCACTGTATCACCGCTCACTGTGTCACCACCACTGTATCACTGCTCATGTGCACCACTGTATCTCACTGTATCACCGCTCACTGTCACTTGTGTCACTGTGTACTCACTGCTAATGTGTCACCGCTCACTGTGTCACCGCTCACTGTGTCACCGCTCACTGTGTCACCGCTCACTGTATCACTGTGTCACTGTATCACCGCTCACTGTGTCACCACTCACTGTATCACTGCTCACTGTATCACTGCATCACCGCTCACTGTATCACTGTGTCACTGTATCACTGCTCACTGTGTCACTGTGTCACTGTATCACCGCTCACTGTGTCACCACTCACTGTATTATTGCTCACTGTATCACTGTCACTGCTCACTGTGTCACTGCTCACTGTGTCACTGCTCACTGTATCACTGCTCACTGTGTCACTGCTCACTGTGTCACTGTGTCACTGTATCACCGCTCACTGTATCACTGCTCACTGTATTATTGCTCACTGTGTCACTGCTCACTGTGTCACTGCTAACTGTGTCACTGCTCACTGTGTCACTGTGTCACTGTATCACCGCTCACTGTATCACTGCTCACTGTATTATTGCTCACTGGGTCACTGCTCACTGTATCACTGCTCACTGTGTCACTGCCGTGTGTCACTACTCACTGTGTCACTGTATCACTGCTCACTGTATCACTGCTCACTGTATCACTGCTCACTGTGTCACCGCTCACTGTGTCACTGCTCACTGTATCACTGCACTGTCACTGCTAACTGTATCACTGCTCACTGTATCACTGCTCACTGTGTCACTGCTAACTGTATCACTACTCACTGTGTCACCGCTCACTGTGTCACCGCTCACTGTATCACTGCTCACTGTATCGCTGCTCACTGTCACTGCTCACTGTATCACTGCTCACTGTGTCACCGCTCACTGTGTCACCGCTCACTGTATCACTGCTCACTGTATCACTGCTCACTGGGTCACTGCTCACTGTATCACTGCTCACTGTATCACTGCTCACTGTATTATTGCTCACTGTATCACTGCTCACTGTGTCACCGCTCACTGGGTCACTGCTCACTGTGTCACTGCTCACTGTGTCACAGCTCACTGTATCACTGCTCACTGTGTCACTGCTCACTGTGTCACAGCTCACTGTATCACTGCTCACTGTGTCCCTGCTCAGTGTCACTGCTCACTGTATTATTGCTCACTGTATCACTGCTCACTGTATCACTGCTCACTGTATCACTGCTCACTGTATCACTGCTCACTGTGTCACTGTTCACTGTATCACTGCTCACTGTATCACTGTGTCACCACTCACGGGGACTTTGGGCTTCTGCTGCGGAGGCAGCACCGCTTCCGTCTCGAGACGCGGGCGAGAAGCCCCGCCCCCAGCCCCATGCCCCCGCCCTCGTCCTGTGGCCCCGCCCTTATAATGCGGCCCCGCCCTCATCATGCGGCCCCGCCCTCATCATGCGGCCCCGCCCTCATCATGCGGCCCCGCCCTCATCATGCGGCCCCGCCCCCCCGCGGCCCCGCCCCCTGACCCCTCTCCTATCACAGAATCAGAATATTTAGATTTCGACTTGTGGAGGAATCCGATGAGCTCAGAAGCTCTTTTTCACATAAGTCCATTAGGGGGCGGGTGTCAGCGAGTGACATCAACAACAACAACGACAAAAAATAAGAAAAAACAATAGGAGTGCAAAATCGAGAAAGGATAAGCAAGTTCACTAGAATAAATGAAGTGTATTATAGGCTATAAGTAGACATTGCATAAGCACTGTTGCATAAACGCACGTACACACTGCTCATACATTACCCCGGAGTATCACTGTGCACCCCGCCTCCGCCACCTGGAGGCGTGAGCCGGGGGACTTTACCCGATGGGCAAGGTCAGGTTCCACCTCTCCACCCTGATTGTGGATCTGCCACCCACCAAGAGCCGTGAACAGGCGCTGGGCACTGCCTCTGCGCTCATTCGAGCAGGATACCCCAGAGAGCGTGGTCTATAGACCGTAATTATAATATTAAAATGTGCTCAATGTCCACCCCCGCCCCCCCCCCCTAATATATTTCTATAAAATAGATTTCTGTTTATATGATTGTGGTTATGGTTGTACTTTATTAATCCTTAATCTCTGCCATTACATACAATGAAACAAGAAATGGTTAAAAAAAATCAAAACAGAGCAATGTAATACAATACACTATTAGACATTATTGTAAAAAAATAACTAAAAAGTCCATTCCACGTGATTTTTGTTTATACTTTAGGCAGGAAATTCGTTTTCAAATGTAGATATTTTTTTCTGGGTTGGGACCCCCAGACCGCCTGGAAGAT